ATGTTCCCACCTCAACATCTTTAAACGTACTCGCCCAACGACGCACAGTACTCACATCAACACAATCACCATAAACAGCTTGCATTTTCTGATGAATCTCCTTTGGGGTGACACCTTCTTCTGTCAAGAGTTCAATGACTGCATGTTGCTTAAGTCGAATTGACTGACCATCTGCATCCATATTTTGCACTAACTAACCAAACTCCCATTTTGAACCGACCGTGCTGCGCAGGGTTCCTATAAACTTTCGCACTTTAAAGAACAGACACCACCGTTCAATGCTGAGTAGCTTCCCGCCAAAAATGGAACTGTGAGGAGAGGTCCTAACTTGAACAAACCAGTAGCATTAACCTGCCGCATAATCATATCTCTGTTGAGGAATTTACGAAAGTGGAGGGCAATTCTATTTTTTTTTTTTTTTTTTTTTTTTTTTTTTTTTTTTTTTTTTTTTTTTTTTTGTTTCATTCAACCCTCATATGTATCATGTGTTAAATCTGTCTGTCAAATTTTATGCAGGATGGGCTCAGACCACATGGAAGTCCTCTTGTACAAGAACATTGAGCTATACATGTTTATAATGGCAAATTACTAAAGTTCTGTTCTATAAATCTCATAATGTTTTGTAGGGTTTCGCTGAGACCTATATCTTTTATACAGAGGTTCACTGAGATCTGAACATTATTTCAAGAATTCCTGCAGGGTAAAAAAGTTTGAGAAAGGCTCCTCTAGATTTTCCTCTGTAATTTGTAGAGTTCCCTCTAGAACAGCATTTCTCAACCTTCCTAATGCCGTGACCCCTTAATACAGTTCCACATGTTGTTGTGACCCCCAACCATAAAATTATTTTTGTTGCTACTTCATAACTGTAATTTTGCTACTGTTATGAATCGTAATGTAAATATCTGATATGCAGGGTGTATTTTCATTCATTGGACCAAATTTGGCACAAATACCCTATACACTGGCGGGGTTGTGGAGGATTGATTTTGTCATTTGGGAGTGGTAGTTGCTGAGATTTATAGTTCACCTACAATCAAAGGGCATTCTGAACACCAACAATGATGGAATTGAACCAAACTTGGCACACAGAACTCCCATGACCGACAGAAAATACAGGAAGAGTTTGGTGGGCATTGACCTTGAGTTCTGAAGTTGTAGTTCACCTACATCCAGAGAGCACTGTAGAATCAAACAATGATGGATCTGGACCAAATTTGGCACGGATAGTCAATATGCCCAAATATGAATACTGATGGAATTTGGGGAAAATAGACTTTGACATTTGGGAGTTGTTGTTGCTGGGATTTATAGTTCACCTACAACCAAAGAGCATTCTGAACCCCACCAATGATAGAATTGGGCCAAACTTCCCACACGGAAACCCCATGACCTGTGTTTTCTAATGGTCTTTGGCAACCCTCCTCACACATCCCTCACAACCCCCCAGGGATCCAGACCCCCAGATTTTCCTCTGTAATTTGTAGAGTTCCCTCTGGAGCAGGATGGGAAACTTGTAGCCTTCCAAATGTTGTTGACTTCTGCTTCCTTTCTTTACTATCCAGTGATGAGGCTCACTGGGAATTGTAGTTGAATAATACCTGCAGCGCCACAAATTGACCATTCTGCTAATTTAAGATGCTCCCAATGTTTTCCTCTCTCTGGCTTGAGAATATTGGAAATCCTTGCTTACTGTCTCTCTCATATTTACAGTGTAGTGCAGCGTCTTCTGTCTCCTTTTATTTTCAGTTGTTACCACATTTTTTCCTATGCAAGGATTGCTGTTGCATTGTCCAGTCTACTCAAAACCAGATAGTCCAAAGAAGAGGTCTAAAATGCATTCATCACTTTCACAATGGGAGTGTAAATTTGGAAGTGTGCTCTGGCACATTATAGAACATTTATATGTGACTGTAACCTTCATGGTTCACGGGGCTGCTTATATAAGCCAGTGCTGTAAGAGTGCAGATGAAAACTCCATTGTTCACTTGCCAGCCCCTAGTCAAACTCAAATATCTGCAGGTCTCAGTGCTACCTGTAGGGCCCAAATGACTTGTGCATGATTTCGTGTCAGATCCTAGTTTTCAAAGAGATAGCCCTGTGGAGGAGAAAAGGTTTTGACTTTGACTAGAGCAGTTACAAAATCCTCGCTCTCAACAGCCCTTCTCTAGTCCAAATTGGAGCCTCATCACCATTATCACTATGAATATATTTTTAAAAGTCGGATCGTCTGAGCAAAGCCGTCTTGTGTCTCACATGTTTTGATCTCCCACAGGCTTATACATACTTGGAGAAGTACGTTTCAGTCTACCAGGGTGCATGTCAAAGAAACTTCTGATGTTGCCCAGATTTTAGCAGAATTATTATATTCTTTTGAGCGTAAATCATTAGAATGTGTGTCTAGTTATAGCAGGCATGAGCAAACTTTCTAACTTGGGGGCCGGATGGTGGGCTGGAGTGAGGTGGGTGAGGCAGAAGGAAGGGAGGGGGTTCTCCCCAAATCACCTCCCTGCCCTTTCCTCCCCTTCCTCTAATCTTTCGGAGGCAGAAAGTGAAGGAAAGACAGGAAACATTCGGATCCCAAAAGGTTTGGCCTTGGTCAGGTTGAGATGGTGGACAGGAGAGAAAAAGTGAAAAAGTATTATCCATGAGACCCCGTGTTGCCTCCTCCTGGTACAGAATCCTAGAACTGGAAGAGACCCCCCAAGGCCATCTAGTCCAACCCCCATGCAAGAAGGCACAATCAAAGTACTCCCGATAGACAGTCTCTGTGGAAAAGCTCCCAGGGAAGGAGACTCCATCACACTCCCAGGCAGCCTAGGCCACTCTCCAGGAAGTTCTTCCTAATCTTTTCAGTCGAATCTCTTTCCCTGCCATTTGAACCCATTGGTCCATTCTTGTGCTCTGGTCTCTAGAGCAGCAGAAAGTCAAGTTTCCCTCCCTCCCCCCACCCCCTCCTCAATGGGACACTCTTTTAAATCTCGAAACATGGTTCTCATGTTCCCTCTCTACCTTCTATTCTCATCACAACCTCTGAGGATGCCTGTCATAGATGCAGGCAAAATGTCAAGGAGAGAATGCTTCTGGAACATGGCCATACGGCCCAGAAAACTCACAACAACGCTGTGCCAATACACTTTGACAGAAATCAGGCTTCATTGATAAACTTCAGTGGACACTCAAGAGTGCAAGTCCAGTCAAGTCTTTCTCGCCCCATTGTGTTTCTTATGTATGTTTCCAAACCTTTAAGAGTTGAAAACGACCTATATATAGGCATAGCAATGGGAACCCTATTATCTGGGAACACTATTATCTGGAAAAGGGGAGAAGGGAGAGCAAGGAGGGAAAAGCCAAAAGAGCACAGCAGAAGGGCAGAGCAACCTTAAATAGCCCCCACCAAGCATGGTCTCCTTCATGAGGGTCTTCACTTCAAAATTTGCTTGAGATAGTGCTTGCAGTTCTGGAGAGACTCGTTTAAATTTTGCTTCTCATAGACTTAGCATGGGGATTTAGTTAGCCAGTTAAAATCCATGAGTAAACCAGTTTTTAAAAAAACCTGAAAATTTGGGGGATGGGGTTGAACCCCTAACCCTCTCGTCCTTGTCTACAGCCCTGGTGCTAAAGCTTCTGTGGAGACCCCTTTATTTATTTCCTACATTTTTGCCCCATCCTTCTCACCCCCAAAGGGGGACTCAGGGCGGCCTCACAAAAGCACCATAAGATGCCGACATCGTAAAAACAATCAACCATACATTAAAAACATTAAAATTGTAATTAAACAATTAATTAAAACATGCCTGTTAAAATCAGAGTCCAAAATCCAGAATCCAAAGTCCAGTCCAGGTCAATTCATTGTCTTAAGTCTTCTTTTACTTGCTGCTATTACTGATCAAATGCTTGGTCCCATAGCCAGGTCTTAAGTTTCCTTCTGAAAGACGGGAGGGAAGTGGCCAATCTGATGTCCCTGGGGAGGGAGTTTCACAAACAGGGGCCACTGCAGAGGAGGCCCCGTCCCTCGTCCCCACGAGTCGCGTTTGCAATGGCAGTGGGATCGAGAGCAGGGCCTCTCCAGATGATCTTAGATTTCGTGATGGTTTGTAACAAGAGATACGTTTGGGCAGGTAGTCTGGTCCAGAACCGTTTAGGGCAGGGGTCCTCAAACTAAGGCCCGGGGGCCGGATACGGCCCTCCAAGGTCATTTTCCTGGCCCTTGCTCAGGGTCAACCTAAGTCTGAAACTACTTGAAAGCACACAACAACAACAACAACAATCCTATCTCTTCAGCCAAAAGCAGGCCCACACTTATCATTGAAATACTAATACGTTTATATTTGTTAAAACTGTTCTTCATTTTAATTATTGTATTTTTAACTACAAATAAGATATGTGCAGTGTGCATAGGAATTCATTCATGTTTTGTTTTTTTCACATTATAATCTGGCCCTCCAACAGTTTGAGGGACTGTGACCTGGCCCTCTGTTTAAAAAGTTTGAGAAAAGTTTTTTTCTCTTTTTTTCTTTTCGTTTCTTTCTTTTATTGTTTCTGTTTTGTCTTGTTCTTTTTTGCTTATGCTTTTGTATAATAATTTCTAGTGTGGAGATGTAGGTGTACGGAGGGATATATATGCATTATGTAGGGATTCATTACATATGCTGAGAGTCAAACAAGTCTGGTTATCATGGTTATACCTATTTTCACATTTGTATTTGTATTTGTGCTTGTATGTTTTGCGTCTAGTCTTCATAATAAAAATTTAAGGAAAAAAAAAGTTTGAGAACTTCTGGTTTAGGGCTTTAAAAGTTAAACCAGCACTTTGAATTGTGCTCGGAAGCTGATCGGCTTCCCCACGTTAATTCTTCCAGGAGTGGATTTCCCTTCAAAGAGGTCGATTTCTCTCACTTCCTATTGCCTTACCCCTGTTCTTAACTATGAGTCATTTGTAAACTGGGTGTTTGTAACTCAGTGACTGCCTGTATAAGGAATTCTCCTTTTCTCCCCACTAGGAGACAGCGCTGAAATCTCTGGGAAATGAAGGTCTTTTCTTGTTCTCTTCCCTGGACACGAACAATGACTTGTACATCAGCCCGGAGGAGTTCAAGCCAATTGCGGAGAAACTTACTGGTAGGCATTTAATTCCTCGAATAGAGGGCTTATATATAAATATATAAATTAACAAACTATTGCTATTTCCAACACAGTGCCCCCTGAGGAAGATTTATTAAAATCTTCCTCAGGGGGCACTGTGTTGGAAATAGCAATAGTTTGTTAATTTATATATTTGCTAACCTGTATTCTATTGGTATGTTGATTTGCCATTTTGACTGCACCTCTTTGATGTGGGAGAGGTTATAGACATCTGATTGTACTGAGCATGTTCAGATTCAGGACTCCATTTTTGCATTCAGTCCGCTGAACACTTCATTTGAAGTGGGTGTGTTTGCTTCCCACCTGCATTTGTTCTTCAATGAAAGCTGGTTGCTGTTTGGACTTCAATAGATACACTATGACTTATGGACTTCAGTGAATACAACTATACTTTAAGACTATAGACCAGGGGTCCTCAAACTATGGCCCGGGGTCCGAATAAGGCCCTCCAAGGTCATTTACCTGGCCCTCGCTCAGGGTCAACCTAAGTCTGAAAAGACTTGAAAGCACACAACAACAACAACAACAACAACAACAACCCTATCTCATCAGCCAAATTTGGACACTATACCCCTAACAGACTAATGAGTGACCATCACTCATACCTCCCCCCCCCCCATAAAACAGCGAAAAAAACTTTAAAACCCAAAAAAGCTAAATGACGATACAGAAAAAGGGAAGGAAGAGGGAGGGAAGGAAGGGGGAAAGAAAAGAAAGAAAATTCAAACTAAATAAGCTGATATATATTATAGGCGAAGACACAGAATGGAAGTAAAAAAAAATTTCTCTTTTTTTCCTTTTTCCTTTTTTATTGATTTCTTAAATTTTCTACTATTCTATAACTCAATGTTCTCCCACTTTCCTTGTAAACTTAAACAATGTTGATATATATCTTGTTTTCTTTTTTTCCTTTTTTATGTATATGTATAATTTAATAAAATTTCTTAAAAATATATTGTATACATATAGATACAGATATTCAGGTACATGGAAATTGCTAGATATCTATTTGTATATAGGATTTGCCAAGACCTGCAAACATATGAGGGGAAATTCATATATAAAATCAACATATATAGATAAATAGAGGTATATAGGTGCATTAGGATTGCAAAGGTTTGAAGGGGGAAATGCCTATATATCTGTAGGCGAGATTAACAAATATATCAGGGGAAAATGCTTTGATAAGATTAATGGATATTCCTGACTTGCAAGGGCTTATCTCCCCCTCCTTTCCCTTTTCAAAACATTCCAGCCTGGGAAGAGAAGCAGAAAAGAAAACACACTGTTTAGGGAGGGGAAGATGAGACAGAAATATATTATATATTGCAAGCAATGGCCTCCAGGCTTATGCGACTGAGGGGGTAAAGGAAGGGGCCTGAGGCTGTTAGGAATTGTGGGAGTTGAAGTCCAAAACACCTGGAGGGCCAAAGTTTGCCCATGCCTGATCTAAATGCTAGGAAATAGGTTTGTTCTTAAGGTCGACTACATTTTTCCATTATGCCTATCCCTGTCCCGCTTAGTAAGAGCTGTCCAAATATCACCCACTTGACCATGTGGTTGAAATATTACAGATACAAGTGTCCCTGGGAGTCTTTTCATGAATTACATTTTTAACCTATGCATACAATTCAGAACAGCTCAATACAACCAACAGTATTGAATTGCTCTTTAAAAAAGGGCCAAGTTGAATTAATTTCTCTTGGGGGAAAGAGAAATCGCATGCATTTGGAGAGTAGGTGGGAGATAATGTTTGGAAAATACACTGTTCCGAACAGAAACATCATCATTTGTGATCGAGGTGAAACCCATAAAAGGACCTCCAGATTATGTTTCCAGGATTATGTGAGACAAGCTGTTCCCTCAGATGTCCTCCCACGGAGAGTCCACTGAGCACTTTAAAGTTCAAAGCCAGCATTTTGAATTTAGTTAGGAAAGTGAACATGATCTTTTGGAGCTCTTATTAAGATGAGAGGAGTGTGCTTCTTCTGAGTAGCTGTGGGCAAAAGCCATGCGGCCTGATTTGACACAACTGGAATTTCCAGACTTTGGAAATGGTGTGTGTATTTGTCTGTGTGTGTGTATGAGAGAGAGGTGCTGGCTGAGTACATCTAGTGTGGATGAAAAGGAAAAGCAGTTGAATGTAATCAGAAGTCGGATACAATGCCCAGAATCCTCTAACCAGGCTGGGAATTCCAGAAGTTGTATATAAAAAAGTAGTTTCCCCAAGCAAGGTCTCAAACATATATAAAAATACTTTATACAGACCAAGTATCAAAGGTGGCCTTCTGGCCAAAGTGTAGTAGCCCCTTCTCCTGCTGTCACCTCTGTCTGTCTGTCTGTCTGTCTGTCTGTCTGTCTATCTATCTATCTATCTATCTATCTATGTATTTGTGAGTGTATGTGTATGTGTGTGTGTGTATTTTCCTTCTCTTGGAGTATCAGTGTTTCTGGCTCCTTCAGTAGCAGTGTCATATCCTCATCCTCATTCTCTCTTCCTTTGCAGAACATCCAGCCTACTCAAGTGTCTGCTTATAAGACACTTTATTGGGCTTGGTTGTACAGAAGAGGAAAGAAGAAATTATTTGTGGTGGGAAGGATTCAATTTTACAAAAGCCTTTTATAATCAGGATCACATAATAAATGGAATGATGTCTCAGTGCTTAGTAAGTTAGGATTTTGTTCATGATAACATCCAAGGCTGGAGTTAAAATTGCCGGAAGAAACATTAATAACCTTAAATATGCTGATGATACCACTTTGATGGCTGAAAGTGAGGAGGAGAAAGGGCAAAAGTTGGGTTGCAGTTAAACATTAAAAAAACCTCAAGATTATCGCAACCAGACTGATTGTCAACTGGCAAATAGAGGGAGAAAATGTGGAGGCAGTGACAGACTTTGTATTTCTAGGCGCAAAGATTACTGCAGACGCAGACTACAGCCAGGAAATCAGAAGACGTTTCCTTCTTGAGAGGAGAGCAATGACCAATCTCAATAAAATAGTGAAGGGTAGAGACATCACACTGGCAACAAAGATCCACATAGTTCAGTGTTTCTCAACCTTTCTAATGCCACGATCCCTTAATCCAGTTCCTCATGTTGTGGTGACCCCCAACCATAACATTATTTTCGTTGCCACTTTGTAACTGTAATTTTGCTACTCTTAGGAATTGTAATGGAAATATCCAACATGCAGGATGTATTTTCATTCACTGGACCAAATTTTGTGGGGCTGGGAGGGGATTGAGTTTGTCATTTGGGAGTTGTAGTTGCTGGGATTTATAGTTCATCTACAATCAAAGAGCATTCTGAATTTCACCAATGATGGAATTAAACCAAACTTGGCAAACAGAACTTCCATGACCAACAGAAAATACTGGAAGGGTCTGGTGAGCATTGAACTTTGAGTTTGGCAGTTGTAGTTCACCTACATCCAGAGAGCAGTATGGACTCAAACAATGATGGATCTGGACCAAACTTGGCACGAATACTCAGTATGCCCAATTGTGAACACTGGTGGAGTGTTGTGGAAGATAGACCTTGACATTTGGGAGCTGTAGTTTCTGGGATTTATAGTTCACCTACAATCAGAGAGCATTCTGAACCCCACCAACGATAGCATTGGGCCAAACTTCCCACAAGAACCTCCATGACCAACAGAAAATACACTACTGTGTTTTCTGATGGTCTTTGGTGACCCCTCTGACACTCCCTCGTGACCCCCCCCCCAGGGTTCCCGACCCACAGGTTGAGAAACACTGACATAGTTAAAGCAATTGTATTCTCCGTAGGCAACAATTCCATGCCTTAAAACACAATGTACACTTAAATAAATATTAAAATAGAATTAAAAATACATATAAAACAATTAAAATATTACATGTAATCCACAAGCATAATCCGGGCTGTTCCAGTGGTCATTGCACATTGTTCCCAGTCTATCTATTACACAAGTTCTCTAAAGCAGAGATTCTCAACTTTCCTAATGCCACGACCCCTTAATACAGGTCCTCATGTCGTGGTGATCCCCAACCATAAAATTATTTTCATTGCTACTTCATAACTGTTGTTTTGCTACTGTTGTGAATCATAATGTAAATATCAGATACGCAGAATGTATTTTCATTCACTGGACCAAATTTGGCACAAATGACTGATACGTCCAAATTTGAATACTGGTGGGGTTTGAGGGGGGTGATTTTGTCATTTGGGAGTTGTTGCTGGGATTTATAGTTCACCTACAATCAAAGAGCATTCTGAACCCCACCAATAATAGAATTGGGCCAAACTTCCCACACAGAACCCCCATGACCATCAAAAATATGTGTTTTCTGGTGGTCTTTGGCGACCCGTTTGACACCCCCTTGCGACCCCCCCAGGGGCCCCGACCCCCAGGTTATAAAACACTGCTCTAAAGGCTTGGTCACAATCCACATTTTCACTCTCTTGTGGAAGGTCAGGAGGGAGGGGGTTGTTCTAATATCCCTGGGGAGGGAGTTCCACAGCTGAGGGGGCCACCACTGAGAAGGCCCTGCCTCTCGTCTCCGTCAATCACGCCTGTGAGCATGGCCTCCCAGATGATCTTAAACTCCATCGTGGAGTTCGGACAAATAAGCTGTGCCGGAACCCTTTAGGGCAGTGGTTCTCAACCTGGGGTCCCCAGATGTTTTTGGCCTACAACTCCCAGAAATCCTAACAGCTGATAAACTGGCTGAGATTTCTGGGAGTTGTAGGCCAAAAACATCTGGGGACCCCAGGTTGAGAACCACTGCTTTAGGGCTTTATAGGCTAAAGACAGTACTTTGAATTGTGCTCGGTAGCAGATCGGCAGCCAGTAAAATTGATGTAACGGGGGGGGGGGGTGTGTGTAGTATGCTCCCTGTATGCCGCTCTGGTGAGCAATCTGGCTACCACCCGTTGGACCATTTGTACCTTCCGAACAGTCTTAAATGGCAGCCCCACGTAGAGTAAGGGGATGCCAGGGGGGGGGGGGGATACCAGCTACCAGCCCTGCAGTTGCAAGTCTGCATTGTTTTTTCTGGAGCAGCTGTTTGGGGACCACTTAGCTGTATTCAGCTGCAGGATCAGCCAGGTGGCCCAGATAGGCTCCAGGATTTTGCAGGTATTATGTTTCAAACTCTTCCATCTTAGAGTTCCGTTTGGACATTGCGAATCACCTCCTTCTGATGGCTTCTTGGGGAAATTGTTTGTGTAAATCTATCCTATGGTGTGTGTGTGAGAGAGAGAGAGAGCTGCCCACAGCACATGGCGACTCTTCCTTTCATTCTCTTTGCTCAAGTCCTAGACTGATTTACGCAACAAGAGGCTGCTAAGCTTCCTGTGTTTTTCGAAAGGCTTATGCACCCAACGCCTCTCTCACAAAGGGCAGTTTTTCTAAATCTGCTGTTCCCATTGTTGGACTTGCAAACCGCACGCGCTGGCTTTGTCTGGGGCTTAAAAAGGATTCGGAGCAGCTGAATACAAGAGATACAGCTCCGCAGCTTTATAATCAGAGAGCTGTTGGTGGCAAGATGCAAGTGGGCTTCTCTGATCTCAGAAACCTCTTTGCATTCGGAAGAGAGTTGCGGCACTTCCCCCTGCTGGCTGCTTACGGTCTCCATGATGCGTGCTTGTGTAGCCCATCAAATTGCTTTCACAAGTCAGTGTGGAACATAGCAGAGGAGGATTCAGCCTGCTCTCACCCTTTTCTCCGACTGCAGAGCGCATAACATTAACTGCAGAATTAGCATGAGTTCTAGAGCTGGTTTCCTATGATTACAGTAGCCTGGGACCGTCTGCTCCTGCCCTGCCGCACCAAAGAGCAAAAGCAGCAGTTGTATAGTGGCATGTCATTTGTATATTCAGTCCAAGGGTGTTTATGGTGAGGGAATCAGATTCTACTTCTCTGAAATGCTCTTTTCCACACCTATCACCATCCAGGGCACTATGACAGGGCAATGTCCTCTCCATCTCTGAGATGCACGTGTATCCTGTTTTTTAGTTCCGTTTGCAGTATCATGAAAGCGGGGAACAGACTGGTTGGCACCTGAGATCTTTACTCAGGCCAGATCTCCATTGTGGAATTTGGTGATTTGGAATGTGCCACTGAGCAGAATGGTAATAGATTTACAGAAATTTAATATGTTATTGTGCAGTGAAGTTGAGAACATGCATAGCCACACAATTTTTAAAAATCAATGAAGAATACAACAGTTGTTAGTGATCTTTGTTGCCCTCTGGTGCACAAAGGTAGAACTGCTCAGCTATGCCTCGATACAGTTATGGAAGTACTTCTGTCATGGAAAAATTGATACTGGAGTGAGAAATAACATAGAAAGAATAGGAACTGTTCTTTCTAACGGCTTAGGTCCAGACTATTTGACAAACCGCATCTCCCTCTACAGACCAACTCGTACACTGCGGTCATCGGAGGAGGTCCTCCTCTCAGTTCCACCCCCATCCCAAGCACGGCTGGTGGGAACGAGAGAAAGGGCCTTCTCTGTGGCTGCCCCCCCACCTCTGGAACTCATTTCCTAAGGAGTTAAAGATGCCCCCCTCCCTCCCCGCTTTCAAAAAACAGCTAAAGACATACCTCTTCTCACTGGCTTACGAGGAAGAAAAATAGTTGGTAATACTACCATTATACCTCTGATTAATAGTTGCCATACATATCCGTGCCTTGCTCACCCCACCAGCTCAAAAGATATCTTGAGCAATGATTAATCGATTTGCTCCAAAGAAATGGGAAATTATTGTTTCCATTTGATGTTTGATGTTCTGTCTTATGTCTGTTATAACAGGCTGTGCTTTTTATTTAATTTTAGTTTGTTAAGTTATAATTCGTATTTATATGTTGGGTTGTATAAATGTTGTTAGTATGGATGTATTTTTGTTGTATTCGGGCATTGAATGTTTGCCTTTTATGTTTGGAATCCACCCTGAGTCCCTTTGGGGAGATAGAGCGGAATATAAATAAAGTTTTATTATTATTAATACTGCTAAAAAACAGTTCAGCGTGTTTCATCAGACTTCTTATTCAAAATTAATGGTATGCATATATGAAATAAATCTGGCAGATCAGTTGAGCCATGCACAAGTAAATAAAACCATTTTGAGCCTTCTAGTAGAGTAAGTTGTTGGAGCATGTAAGAAATCAGTTAGCTAGTGTGTTAACTGAAAATGCAAAGCACGAAGCTGATTGGATGGGCCATGCCTGGGGAGCTAGCTGAGCCTGGGAGTTTTGACAACAGTTACATTTTTAGACTTGAGCCGTTCAAGTGCTTGCAAGAGAGAGAAAGTTTTGAGTTCTTGCTTCAGGAGCTGCTGGAAGGAGATTTTTCCACATGGACACCTAAAGACCATTTTGAATCTCTCTCAAAAGGACATTGTGTGAATCAATGCAACTATTCACATGATTGTATATACAGTATGTCGCTCTGCATTACAAAGAGTAAGCTACTTGTTCTTTACTGATCATCTGTGTGGCATGTTTTCTTCTTCTGGCAAGACAGTGTGTGGACTGATAAAACGTGAACTATGAGCGATTTTCATTACGCCACATAAGTCGCACTCGTTTTAGAGTACATGAAAAAGTAGAGGCCACAATCCATATCGTGATGATAATATGAAGGTTTTTTGGAATCGGAATGTAAGGTTACAAAGCATGTAGCTCTTGCGGGGAATTTTCTGGGGGGAAGTTGGTCCCACTGCCTTGTAGTAGGAAGCCAACAGAAGCGAACGAACGGTGCCAGTAGTCAGTAGCTCATTGACTGGCATTGTGATGAAGGTTAGAAATGAGCGTACTCATTCCATTTCCCTCCAAGTGCAAAGTTTGAGCTCTAATATGCTACATAAATGCGAAGGGCATGAACGCTGCCGCGATTCATTGTGAAATTATTACCGTTTATGGAGAGGACTAATGTCAAGACAGCTTGTGACAAAATGGGTAATGAATATATTGTGAGACCATGAAGAAACTTTGCAGAGCTATCCAAACCAACGTGGTGGGATGCTGACGGCAGGAGTCTGTCTCCTTCATGGCAATGCGCGTCCGCACACCACTCATTCAACACAAGAGTTGTTGACTTCATTTGGTTGGGATGTGTTAAGCCACCCCTCTCACAGCCCCAATCTCACACCCAGTGACTTTCACCTGTTCACTAAATTGAAGGAATACCTATGTGAAAAAACATTTTTCCAACAATGATGAGGTGAAAATCGAAGTGACAAACTGGCTGAAAAAGGGTGGAGGAAAACTTTTATGATACAGGCATCCCACGGATGGCAAAATTGAACTGAATTGGGATTATGTGGAAAAATAGTGTCATGCCTATGCTACAATCCTTGTAAGTTGATTAAAATATATTCATTCTTTGTATTTTTATTAAAAAAATCTTGTAACCTTACTTTCTGGATAACCCTTGTACCTTTATTAGGTCAGCCAAAAATGGCAATCTGTCTTAATCTTCACATCTCTTGATTATGCACAATGAAACAAAAATCTGGTTGTTAAAAGACTGGAAAAATGGTGAGAAGACCTGTGACGGGTACAGCTGGAAAAAGACTGTCTGATACCCACTCTGCTGTCATGAATGTGTCAGTTGCAGGGCAAGGGCTTGCACTGATGAAATCCCTCCCTGAAAAGGCCCAGTGTGTCAGACTGCTTCCTTTCAATATATTGCAGGTTGCTGCCCTTTCATGGATAGTAGAATCATAAAATCATAGAGTTGGAGGAGACTTCATGGGCCATCCAGTCCAATTCCATTATTCCAAGAAGCAGGAAAATCGTATTCAAAGCACCCCTGATAGATGGCTATCCAGCCTCTGTGTAAAAGCCTCCAAAGAAGGAGCATCCACCACACTCTTGAACAGAGAGAGAGTTCCACTGCTGAACAGCTCTCACAGTCAGGAAGTTCTTCCTCATGTTCAGGTGGAATCTCCTTTCCTGGAGTTTGAAGCCATTGTTCCATTGCGTCCTAGTCTCCAGGGCAGCAGAAAACAAGCTTGCGCCCTCCTCCCTATGACTTCGCCTCACATCTTGATCCATGACCCTCATCATGTCTCATCCCAGCCTTCTCTTCTGCAGGCTAAACATGCCCAGCTCTTGAAGCCACTTCTCATAAGGCTTTTTCTCCTGACCCTTGATCCTTTTAGTCACCCCCCTCTCTTGACACATTCCAGCTTAGAGTCAACATCTCCCTTCAATTGCGGTACCCAGAATTGGACACAGTGTGATTCCAGGTGAGGTCTGACCAAGGCAGAATAGAGGGGTAGCATGACTTCTCTGGATCTAGGCACTAGAATCCTATTGATGCAGGCCAAAATCCCATTGACTGTTTTAGCTGCCACATGACATTGTTGGCTCATGTTCAACTTGTTGTCCACAAGGACTCCGAGGTCTTTTTCACACGTACTGCTATAGAACCAGGCCTCCCCCATTCTTTATCTTTGCATTTCATTGATATTTCATTGATAATTCATTGATAGGTAGTAATTCATAATGAGATTCTGTTTATACTAAAGTATTACTTTTGTTGTTCATGCCACTGCTCTCTTCAGGCATTACTCCTGTCTCTGGCATTGATGAGGAAGAGGTGCTGGATCCCAGTGGAGAGACTCTCTCGATCCTTGCAAAATTTCAGCCTCTGCTCATGGAAACAATGACAAAGAGCAAGGATGGCTTCCTTGGAGTGAGTATTACATTTAATTGTTGACTAAGACGAGAGCGAGAGAAATGATCTAATTCAAAACAATTCTGATTTCATTTATTATAGGCATGATTGTTTTAATACTTCCACTCTTTCTGTACCATGGTATCCACAGCCTCATTGCACAAATTAAATGACAAAACAGCATCATTGCTGTTTATCAATCTGTTTGTATCATCCATTGGAAATATCATAAAATGGCGTAACTCATTAGAAAAGACAGTATAGCTGAACACAATAGGAAATGAGGAAGACAGCATACCTGAGCTTTCAAGACCTTATCATGGTTATTAATAACAGTGTTTTAGGGCTTTCCACTCCTTCAGACTTGGCCATGGTGGTCCACGCTCTCATTACATCCAGGATAGGCTACTGCAACGCACTCTACATGGGGTTGCCTTTGAAGACTGCTTGGAAGCTTCAAATAGTCCAACGAGAGGCAGCCAGATTAATACCTGGGGCGGCATACAAGGAGCATACAACTCCCATATTATGCCAGCTCCGCTGGCTGCCAGTTTGCTACCGGGCACAATTCAAAGTGTTGACTTTGGCCTATAAAGCCCTAAACGGCCCTGGCCCAAATTACCTGTCCGAATGCATCTCCCCCTATGAACCATCACGGAGATTAAGATCCTCCGGGGAGGCCCTGCTCTCTGTCCCACCATTGTCACAGGCGCGATTGGTGGAGACGAGTGACAGGGCCTTCTCGGTGATTGCCCCCTGCCTATGGAACTCCCTTCCTGGTGAGTTCAGATTGGCCCCTCCCTCCTGTCCTTTAGAAGGATGGTAAAAACTTGCCTGTGGGAGCAAGCTTTTGGGACAGGGCAATAAGGCAGTGACAGGAAACTTTACCAGGCCAATTTAGATTTGATGCAGATGACCAAGAGAGTTTTAAACAGTGTATTTTAAAAACATTTGATAATTTTTTTAATGTTTATGCATATTCATATGAATTCTTGTCCCGGCATTGAATGTTTACTGTATATATGCTGTGCTCCGCCCTGAGTCGGGGGTTTTTTGTTTTGTTTTTTTGGTCGTGTCAGGAGTGACTTGAGAAACTGCAAGTCGCTTCTGGTGTGAGAGAATTGGCCGTCTGCAAGAACATTGCCCAGGGGACGCCCGGATGATTTTGATGTTTTTATCATCCTTGTGGGAGGCTACGCTCATGTCCCCGCTTGCAGAGCTGGAGCTGATAGAGGGAGCTCATCCGCCTCTCCCTGGATTTGAACCTGCGACCTGTTGGTCTTCAGTCCTGCCGGTACAGGGGTTTAACCTACTGCGCCACCGGGGGCTCCCCCTTCGGAGTGAGAAGGGCGGAATATAAATGTTTTAAATAAATGAATAAATAATAAAGTTGCCATTAGAGGGTGTATTGTTAAAAAATTTTTTTAAAAGAAATGTAATAAATATCCATGACTTACACCACCTTCTTAGTGAGCATTTTTTACCTTCCAGGTGTCCCACCTTGCTCTTTCTGGGCTCCGCAACTGGACTGCTCCAGCATCCCCTGTGAGTGTGATGTTTGCTCAGCAATTTAAGTCCTTCCTTCCCCCAAAGCATAAAGTGGAACTTGCTGATCCATGGTGGATCATTCCCAGCGAACTAAACATCTTTACTGGATACCTTCCTAACAACAGGTTTTATCCTCCAGCCCCCAGAGGCAAAGAGGTAAGATGTAAGCATTTTACAGTGGTGTTCAAAATAAGCAGCAGCATTTGTGTGGCAGATTTGTTGTGTTCAAAGCACTTTATACACCGTAATTCAGTAGTTCATACAAGAGTCCAGGAGAAGAGTTCAGTTTGTATCTCTACGGTGTGATACAATGAGAACAGTGTTGGGCGAGTGGGCTTATTAACAAAAGACCCTCCTCATAAATGTATAGAGCAACTTATCAGCAGCAGCATGACCAGTTGCTCAAAGTGATAAAAATAACAAAAACAGAGAAATGTTATCTCTTCCGTAGGAGGCTTTTCTTTAGAGGAAAATAATATGGTTGCGCTATTTACAAAAACAAGGTTTCCATGACACAAATAAATCATAGAATCATAGAATCAAAGAGTTGGAAGAGACCTCATGGGCCATCCAGTCCAACCCCCTGCCAAGAAGCAGGAATATTGCATTCAAATCACCCCTGACAGATGGCCATCCAGCCTCTGTTTAAAAGCTTCCAAAGAAGGAGCCTCCTCCACACTCCAGGGCAGAGAGTTCCACTGCTGAACGGCTCTCACAGTCAGGAAGTTCTTCCTCATGTTCAGATGGAATCTCCTTTCTTGTAGTTTGAAGCCATTGTTCCGCGTCCTAGTCTCCAGGGAAGCAGAAAACAAGCTTGCTCCCTCCTCCCTATGACTTCCTCTCACATATTTATACATGGCCATCATATCTCCTCTCAGCCTTCTCTTCTTCAGGCTAAACATGCCCAGCTCCTTAAGCCGCTCCTCATAGGGCTTGTTCTCCAGACCCTTGATCATTTTAGTCGCCCTCCTCTGGACACATTCCAGCTTGTCAATATCTCTCTTGAACTGCGGTGCCCAGAATTGGACACAATATTCCAGGTGTGGTCTAACCAAAGCAGAATAGAGGGGTAGCATGACTTCCCTAGATCTAGACACTATGCTCCTATTGATGCAGGCCAAAATCCCATTGGCTTTTTTTGCCGCCACATCACATTGTTGGCTCATGTTTAACTTGTTGTCCACGAGGACTCAAAGATCTTTTTCACACGTACTGCTCTCGAGCCAGGCATCCCCCATTCTATATCTTTGCATTTCGTTTTTCCTGCCAAAGTGGAGTATCTTGCATTTGTCACAGTTAAACTTCATTTTGTTAGTTTTGGCCCATCTCTCTAATCTGTCAAGATCGTTTTGAATCCTGCTCCTGTCCTCTGGAGTATTTGCTATCCCTCCCAATTTGGTGTCGTCTGCAAACTTGATGACACCAAATTGGGAGGGATAGCCAATACTCCAGAGGACAGGAGCAGGATTCAAAACGATCTTGATAGATTAAAAGATGGGCCAAAACTAACAAAATGAAGTTTAACAGTGACAAATTTCAGCCTTCACACTGGAGCTTCACACAAGAGGCCTTCTCATACTGAGGCCTACCTCACACTTTGAGGTCTAATAACATTAAGGCATATTCTCCCAAAGGGACATTCTCTCACACAGAGAGGCTTCTCTCACACACAGGCTTCTCTCGGACTGAGGTGTTACTAAGCAACAGGCACGCCTGCTTATATTGAACTTCAGCTTTGCTGAGTCATTGCATCCACTTAACCCTTTCAGTGCTTGGCTCACATTTTTGTAATTAAAAATACCTAGTTAATTTTTAGTATTTTTGACACAATGCTACAGATAAAGACCAGTTTCAGGCTCTCTTATTCTGTTTATTCAGAGCTTTATTTAATTTTTGCTGATCCGTGGAGTCCAGTTGTTCAGGGTGCCTTGTTTCATAATGGTTCCAGCAAGACTGGCTTGCAGCTTAAGCAGTGGACTTATTTTGAAAGGGAAAACTATCCCCCTGTCTTGCTTCTGATGTTTTTCAGTGCTTTCTGGGTCAAAGGTCTTAAAGGAATATAGCTGATCGGTAATATTATTATTATTATTATTAATAATAATAATAATAATTTAAAAAAACTTTATTTATATCCCGCCACCATCTCCCCGAAGGGACTCATGGCAGCTTACATGAGGCCAGGCCTATCAAATACAAATACAACAATACATCAACAAAGCAAACAAGCCAATAAAACAAAAGAAAAACATGGTAGGAATGGGCAAATCAACATCTCTTGGGTTGCTGTGAGTTTTCCAGGCTGTCTGACCACGTTTCACTCACACCTATGGCAGGCATCCTCAGAGGCTATGAGATCTGTTGGAAACTATGCAAGTGGGGTTTATATATCTGTGAAATGTCCAGGGTGGGAGAAAGAATTCTTCTCTGCTTGAGGCAAGTGTGAATGTTGCAATTGGCCACCTTGATTAGCAATTTAATGGCCTTGCAGCTTCAAGGTCTGGCTGCTTCCACACCTGCCTCAAACAGACAAGACTTCTTTCTCCCACCCAGCATTTATTTATTTATTTATTTATTTATTTATTTATTTATTTATTTATTTATTTAGAGTTTTTATAACCTGGTCTTCTCGACCTCCGGGGAGGGACTCAGGCCGGCTAACAACATAAGATTCAATACAATAAGAAAAGCATTATAAATCATCAATATAAAATACATTAAAATACAATTCATACAATTCATACAAGTTACAGCAAAAAATCAGTTCGTCATAATGAATCACAAATTCATAGCCATCCACCAGAAAGGTCAGCAGTTATTGACTCAGTCATCATTCTGCGAATGCAGTATCCCAAAGCCATGTTTTTACCAGCTTTCTAAACGGCAGGAGGGAAGAGGCAGATCTAATCTCCATCGGGAGGGAGTTCCAAAGCCGAGGGGCCACCACCGAAAAGGCCCTGTACCTCATCCCCACCAAACACGATTGTGAAGGCGGTGGGACCAAGAGCAGGGCCCCTCCAGGAGATCTTAACAACCTTGATGGTTCATAGGAGAGAATCCATTCGGACAGGTAAATAGGGCCAGAGCCGTTTAGGGATTTATAGGTCAACACCAGCACTTTGAATTGTGCTCGGAAGCTGATTGGCAGCCAGTGGAGCTGGCGCAACAGAGGAGTAGTATGTTCCCTGTACCCCGCTTCCGTTAGTAATCTGGCTGCCGCTCCTTGGACTAGTTGTAGCTTCCGGGCAGTCTTCAGAGGCAACCCCACATAGAGAGCGTTGCAGTAGTCTATACGGGATGTAACCAGAGCATGTACCACCGTGGCCAAGTCAGACTTCCCAAGGTACAGGCGCAGCTGGCGCACAAGTTTTAATAGTGCAAAAGCTCCCCTGACCACTGCTGAGACCTGGCGTTCCAGGCTCAGCGATGAGTCCAGGGTCACTCCCAAGCTGCGAACCTGCGCCTTCAGGGGGAGTGTAACCCCGTCCAGCACAGGCTGTAACCCTATACCCTGTTCGGCCTTTCGACTGACCAGGAGTACCTCTGTCTTGTCTGGATTTAGTTTTAATCTGTTGTCCCTCATCCAGTCCGTTACAGCGGCCAAGTACCGGTTCAGGACTTCAACAGCCTCCTTAGTAGCAGGTGGAAAGGAGTGACAGAGTTGGACATCATACAGGTTGCTATTTCCAACAGCTGTCAACCTCTGAGGATGCCTGCCATAGATGCAGGCGGAACGTCAGGAGAGAATGCTTCTGGAACATGGCCATACAGCCCAGAAAACTCACAGCAACCCAGTGATTCTGGCCATGAATGCCTTCAACAATACATTCAACATCTCTTCCTTGGCTGCTGTGTACACATGAAACCTGATGTGTTAAAGCCCCAGAACATGTATGTTACCATTTCAAATATTCAATACATCAGAACATGCCAGAAGAGATTAATAAGACTCCCAGGGACAGGAAACCAGACAGGAAAGATAGCTTCTCTTAGATGCCAAGTATTAATAATTGAACCTGGACTTGGAGGAAATTAGGTTTTGACTGTGATGTTCACTGCCTGCCTCTTTCTGTGTGCTTCCCTCTGCTTCTTTTTTTGCAGGTAATAATTCACAAACTCTTGAGTATGTTCCATCCCCGGCCGTTTGTGAAAACTCGCTTTGCCCCGCAGGGAGCTGTAGCCTGTATTCAAGCAGTTGCGGATTTCTACTACAGGATTGCATTCAGGTATAGTCCCACGATGGGAGAATGCCAGTGGCTACATGCATTGGTTTTGTGTACATATGGGTGCATTGGTGTAAAATAGAGGTGGTATAATCGTCGTCCTCCAGATGTGAGATGGGATATTGTATTTCTGATGGTCTTAGGAATCCCTTTGGCAGAGAATGTTAAAGATCTCTCTGCCTGTCCTTCGCTTTCTTTTGGGAAACAGACAGTGAATCCTCCCACCAAAAGCCCTCCTTTGTTGTGATTGGCCGGCCTCTCAGCTGGCCCCTCAACCAAGGGGAGGGCTGTTTCTGAGACTCGAAGCAGGGAGGGGAGAGTAGGCATGCTCAGCGCATGGCAGCATGGTGTGCATGCATGGGCAAGGGAGGACGTGCAAGGCTGGAGGGAGGCTCGTGCCAGCAATTCCCTTCAAGACGTGGGGGTTCTGTGTGGGAAGTTTGGCCCAATTGTATTATTTGTGGGGTTCAGAATGCTCTTTGATTGTAGGTGAGCCATAAATCCCAGCAGCTACTACTCCCGAATGTCAATGTCTATTTTCCCCAAACTACACCAGTGTTCACATATTGAGTCTTTGTGCCAGGTTTGGTCCAGATCCATCATTGTTTGAGTCCACAGTGCTTTCTGGATGTAGGTGAACTACAACTCCAAACTCAAATTCAATGCCCACCAAACCCTTCCCGTATTTTCTGTTCGTCATGGGAGTTCTGTGTGCCAAGTTTGGCTCAATTTTATCGTTGGTGGGGTTCAGAATGCACTTTGATTGTAGGTGAACTATTAATCCCAGCAACTACAACTCCCAAATGACAAAATCAATCATCCCCAACCCCACCAGTATTCAAATTTGGATATTTGTGCCAAATTTGGTCCAGTGAATGAAAATACATCCTGCATATCAGATATTTACACTATTTCAACCAGAGAAGCCAGCCATAGCAGAGCACCTGATGAACCAACCTGGACACAGCATATTGTTTGATAACACAGAAATGCTGGACCACTCTAACAACCACCATGTCAGACTACACAGAGAAGCCATTGAAATCCACAAGCATGTGGACAATTTCAACAGAAAGGAGGAAACCATGAAAATGAACAAAATCTGGCTACCAGTATTTAAAAAACCTCTAAAATTACAACAGCAAAACAACAGAGAGGAAACAATAACCACAATATTCCAGGTGTGGTTAGACCACATCTGGAATATTGTGTCCAATTCTGGGCACCACAATTCGAGATATTGACAAGCTGGAATGTGTCCAGAGGAGGGCGACTAAAATGATCAAGGGTCTGGAGAACAAGCCCTATGAGGAGCGGCTTAAGGAGCTGGCATGTTTAGCCTGAAGAAGAGAAGGCTGAGAGGAGATATGATAGCCATGTATAAATATGTGAGAGGAAGCCACAGGGAGGAGGGAGCAAGCTTGTTTTCTGCTTCCCTGGAGACTAGGACGGAACAATGGCTTCAAACTACAAGAAAGGAGATTCCATCTGAACATGAGGAAGAACTTCCTGACTGTGAGAGCGGTTCAGCAGTGGAACTCTCTGCCCCGGAGTGTGGTGGAGGCTCCTTCTTTGGAAGCTTTTAAACAGAGGCTGGATAGCCATCTGTCAGGGGTGCTTTGAATGCAATATTCCTGCTTCTTGGCAGGGGGTTGGACTGGATGGCCCATGAGGTCTCTTCCAACTCTTTGATTCTATATTCTAATACAAACATGTCTCAACAAAGTTTGCTCCAGGCACTGTCAGGCCATTATATGCTAATCAAGGTGGTCAGTTGAAACATTCACACCTAGCTCCAGCAGACAAGAGTCCTTTGTCCCACCCTGGTCATTCCACAGATATATAAACCCATTTTCCTAGTTCCAACAGACCTCACTACCTCTGAGGAGGCTTGCCATAGATGCAGGCGAAACGTCAGGAGAGAATGCCTCTAGAACATGGCCATATAGCCCGAAAAAACCTACAACAACCCAGTTATTGGGTTTCTTTGTGGGTATCAGATATTTACATTATGATTCACAACAGTAGCAAAATTACAGTTATGAAGTAGCAACAAAAATAATGTTATGGTTGGGGGTCACCACAACACGAGGAACTGTATTAAGGGGTTACGGCATTAGGAAGGTTGAGAAACATTGGTATAAAGTATGGCAAGAAAATAGATGCAACAGAGTGACGTTTCCACACAGAACCCCCATGACCAACAGGAGGGTCCATTGATCCCTTTTCTGGTCTCTTTCCTCTGGCAAGCAAAGGCTTTCAAACAGGTTTTCAGACTTGAGCTGCTTCTGGGCGAGGAATGTACAGTGGCGGTGCTGTTTTCTCTATGTACTGTGCATTTGATGTGTTTTAAATTGTTTTTAATTTAATGTTTTGATAGGCTTAGCTTTTTAAAATTTTGTACCCTATTTTGTTCTGCCAGTTTTATTTTAATTCATGGTGTAAATTACTTTGGGATCCCATATTGGGAAAAAGAGAGGATGTAAACCAAATAAATGAATGAATGAGCATCCTTTATAGTACTGATGATATAACATCAAAGGCATCACAAAAAACCACAGGCAGGTAATTGAATTTGCAAATTCTGGCAGAAGAGTGAATGTAGTATATCATCAAGAGTTGCATGGGACTCTTGAATAAAACCTGGACCACTCATCCAAAGGAAAAGACTATTAGCTGTGTGTTAAAAAGTCGTCGAGACTCTCTCAACCATGTTACAGTCTCGTGCTTGGCTTCTTTCTTCCCTCCCTTTGGGGCACTTATGGCTGTCTTTTCTTCCAGAATCCATGCTGAGTTTCAGTTGAATGAACCCCCAGATTTCCCATTCTGGTTTTCGCCTGCACAGTTCACAGGCTACATTGTCCTCTCCAAAGATGCTTCTCATGTTCGGGAATTCAAGCTGTTTGTTCCTAACAATAGGTAAGCTTGCTTCACTTCTGGCGCTCACTTGTGAAAATACCTTTTTTGTACCAAAAATGAAATTTAATCTATTGTATTTTTGCCAAGTGATCTCGTTCACCCTCTATGGCCCCATTTGTACTGACCACTTAGCTCAGCATAGATTTTGATCAGCCCCGTAGTGAGCACACCTGATTTGCTTGGATCATGCAGGTACTGAGTGCAACTTGCAGGGTTGTTCAGAACCTGAGATTTTGTCATAAGTATCCTGGATGTGGATGAAGTACAGGTCTGCAGATTGGGTGTCCTAGACTCATCGCTATCGCTTGAAGCATAAGCTTGGCGGTGGCTGGGAGAGCTTTTGCACAATTGAAGCTCGTTCACCAGCTGCGACCGTACCTCGCGAAGGCGGATCTGGCCATGGTGGTCCACGCCTTAGTCACCTCCAAATTGGATTACTGCAATGCACTCTACGTGGGGCTGCCCTTGAAGACGGCTTGGAAATTTAAATTGGTCCAACAGGCGGCAGCCAGATTACTAACTGGAGTGACTTACAGGGAGCAGTCAACCCCCCTGTTTAAAGAGCTCCATTGTCATGTTGTAAATCATTGCCTTCTCTTGGGAAAAATGTATAATATCACAAAGGATTACCACCTCACTGTTTAAAGAGCTCCATTGTCATGTTGTAAATCATTGCCTTCTCTTGAGAAAAATGTATAATATCACAAAGGATTACCACCTCACCCATTTAATAGGGAATCTGCTACAAAACAGGAGCTTTTTTTTTGAGTTCCAGGGTCAGAGAAGCAGATGGTGAAAACAGAAGAACAGCCTTGCCTTAGGTGAGCGTGCTTGATCCATCAATGTTTAACATTTACACAAATGATCAGCTACTGTCAGAAGGGACTGACTTTCATCTATGCTGACGATCATGCCATCACCACCCAAGCAGGGAGCTTTGAAATGGTTGAACAGAAGCTCTCTGGAGCTTTAGGCGTTCTTAATGCCTATTACAGGGGAAACTAGCTGATTCCTAATCCATCTAATATGCAAATGTGTGCTTTTCACTTTAAGAACAGACAAGCATCTCGAGCTCTGAGGATAACTGGGAAGAAATCCCACTGGAGCACTGCAGCACACCAACATACCTGAGAGGCACTCTGGACCATGCTTTAACTTGCAAGAAGCACTGCTTGAGTATCAAGCAAAAAGTGGTGGCTAGAAATAATATTGTATGCAAGCTGACTGGCACAACCTGGGGATCACAGCCAGACACAGTGATGACATCTGCCCTTGCGCTTTGCTGCACATACCCAGTATGGAATACATTACACTACGTTAAAACAATGGATATGGCTCTTAATGAGACATGCTGCATTATCATAGGATGTCTATGCCCCACACCACTGGAGAAATTATACTGTTAGCAAGTATTGCACCACCTGATATCCATCGGGAAGTAGCAGACAGCAATGAAAGGACAAAGGCACTGACATCTCCGGCACATCCTCTGTTCGGATATCAGTAAGCATGCCAATGACTTAAATCAAGAAAGAGCTTCCAAAGATCTACAGAGATACTTGCAGAAACACCTCAGCAAGTAAGAGTCCAAAAGTGGCAGACTAAAACCTAGAATCTCAATCAGTGGCTGAGATCGGATGAGAGACTCCCTCCTGGGCACACAGAAGACTGGGCGACTTGGAAGGTGCTGAACAGACTGCGCTCTGGCACCACGAGATGCAGAGCCAACCTTAAGAAATGGGACCATAAAGTGGAATCCATGACATGCAAGTGTGGAGAAGAGCAAACCACAGACCACCTACTACAATGCAGTCTGAGCCCTGCCACATGCACAATGGAGGGCCTTCTTATAGCAACACCAGAGGCACTCCAAGTGGCAAACTACTGGTCAAAGTACATTTAGTATAATGCCAAATTTTTAACTTTGTTTGTGGTTTTTTATACATTATAACTGTATTCTAAATTTGCTTCTGAGACAATAAATAAATTGGCCCACTCAGGAGTAATAAATTAAAAACCATTAAAAAAAACATATTAAAAATGTGTTCCTGATGGTGCCAGTTCTTTTCCACAGGTCTCTCAATGTAGACATGGAATGGCTGTACGGTGCCCTTGAGAGCAGCAACATGGAAGTAGATATAGGATACTTGCCTCAGGTAAGTAGAAACAATTGCATTTGGAACTAATTTCTGATTGGTTTTTCTGATTCTGGTGTATTTGACAACCTGGTTTTTATAAGAACCGTTACACATGCAGCGTGTGTGGCCTGGGATAATTATTTCTCTTCAGTTTTCACAGCTAACAAAAAAAGGACAACTAAATGCTAATCATTTATAGACTAGAGCAGGGGTCCACAAACTAAGGTCATTTACCCGGCCCTCACTCAGGGTCAACCTAAGTCTGAAACAACTTGAAAGCACACAACAGCAACAACCATCCTATCTCATCAGCCAAAAGCAGGTCCACACTTCCCATTGAAATACTAATAAGTTTATATTTGTTAAAATTGTTCTTCATTTTAATTATTGTATTTTTAAGTGTTTTTTGCACTACAAATAAGATATGTGCAGTGTGCATAGGAATTCATTCATGTTTTTTTTCAAATTATAATATGGCCCTCCAGCAGTTTGAGGGACTGTTACCTGGCCCTCTGTTTAAAAAGTTTGAGAACCCCTGGGCTAGAGAGAAGAGAAATAATAATAATAATAATAATAATAATAATAATAATCAAAGACTCTAGCACAAACCAGTAAAGATGATCTCAGTGGTGATCAGCACACTGGGTGCAGTGCCTAAAGACCTTGGCCTGCACTTAAAAACAATCGGCACTGACAAAATTACTATCTGTCAACTGCAAAAGGCCACCTTACTTGGATCTGCATGCATTATTCTCCAATACATCACTTAGTCATAGACACTTGGGAAGTGTCTGATGTGTGATCAAATACAAAAGCCAGCATAATAATCTTGTTTGCTGTATACTAATCTTGTTATGTAACATCTTCAGGTTTGTTTTGGTTTTTTGTTTGGTTTTTTGCCCCTTTAGCAGTCTCTAGGCACAATAGCCTCTGGGTGTGAAATACTGGTAATAATTATGGCTTGTCTGTTCAGTCCACAGCAAGCACAATTCATGGTGTTCAAACTCACTTCAAACCATACTTTCTGTTTATGGTTTGCCAGTCAGGTACTAAGCAAGGCACTGATGGCTATAAGGGAGAGAATAATCTGTACATTCAACTGGGTTGAAATGCTTATCAGAACCCAATGAAGATATATTTATATTCACACATAGGTTGTGGTCTATTCCCATGTATTTGGCTCGCTCCTGCTATTGGTTGTAATAAAAATCTGTACATATTTCAACTGTAACTGTGGTGACATATATTAATAGATCTCAGGTCAGGATACCCTCGATAAAAGCAATTCAGTCGTTTATGTATTTATTATATCCACTGTCTAGTATAAATTGGGATTAAGAAATTAAAACTGAACTGTAATTAAATAGATCCAAATAGCAGATCTAATTTCTTGTCATTCTAAGATCCAATAGCGATATTATTTTAGCCTGTTATAAAATGAGACCTCTTTAAGGAAGTTTCTTTTCAGCACCAAATCAAAATATTTTTTCCTCAATCAAATCACATGGCCATTTATTTTAATTTATTTGGTTGGTTACTTTGGGGGGGGTGCTAGTTGGGTGGTTTTCTTTTTCTTTTCATGTATCTCTAATTTTTATGCATTTTTATGTGGGCTTTAGATTGGGTACATTAGAATGCCATGTGGATGACAGGCAACTCATTCACTTGAAATACCATATATACTCGAGATAAGCCGAGTTTTTCAGCCCTTTTTTTAGGCTGAAAAAGCCCCCCTGAGCTTATACTCAAGTAAAAGTTATTTATCATTTGATCCTGTTGTTACTATTATTATTATTATTATTATTATTATTATTATTATTATTATTACATGTATTAATTTACTCTATTATTGTTGTTGTTGTTATTGTTGTTATTATTATTACATTTATTATTTTACTTTATTTTTACAGTTTATTTACAGTTTATTATGTTACAGTTTATTATTTTTACAATTTATTATTTTACAGTTTATTATTTTTACAGATTATTACATTTCCATTATTTTACTCTATTATTATTATTTTATTACATTTATTATTTTACTCTCTTTATTATTACTGGAAGGACACATAAGCAGGTTTCCATTGAAGAAGGGTAGAATAATGGTTGAACCAGAGTTGGACAGACTTATCTTAAATTACAGTTTTATGTAAATATTCAAAATCATTTAACCTCCTGGTGCTTCAATTAATGTAATTTTATTGGTATCTATTTTTATTTTGAAATTTACTAGTGGCAGCTACATTTCCCACCCTCAGATTATACTCGAGTCAATACATTTTCCCAGTTTTCTGTGGTAAAATTAGGTGTCTCAGCTTATTTTCAGGTTGGCATATACTCGAATATATACAGTAATACCTGTAATACCCTTTAGTTTTGGTGAGACTTATCTCCATGTACATTGTGTTCTAAAGCCTCTAGGGCAGTGGTTCTTAACCTGTGGGCCACGGCCCACCAGTGGGCTGCAAGGACGAAAATCTGGTCCGCAAGCCTCTTTCCTCTTTATTTATTTTATTATTTTATTTATTTTACTAGCCGTCCCCTGCCACACATTGCTGTGCCCCGTCTGTGTATATGTGTTTTGTGTGTGTATATGTGTATGTATATATTTATGTACATGTGTATATGTGTCTTTGCGCATATATATGGTTTTGTGCATGCGTTGTAATTTTTGTTTTTTGGCTTTTTAAGTCTCTTCTGTTGTGTTTTTCAGTGTTTTTATGAGTGATGGTCACTCGTTGGACTGAGAGGTGTTTTGTGTCCAAATTTGGTGCCAATTCACCCAGTGGTTTTTGAGTTATATTAATCCCACAAACAAACATTACATTTTTATTTATATAGATAACTAGCCATCCCCTGCCATCCCCTGCGTTGCTGTGGCCCAGTCTATGTATATGTATTTTGTGTGTGTATATATTTATGTATATGTGTATATGTGTGTTTGTTTATATGTGTGTGTGTGGTTTTGCACATGCGTTGTAATGTAATTTTTGGTTTTTTGGCTTTTGAAGTCTTTTCTGCTGTGTTTTTCAGTGTTTTTATGAGTGATGGTCACTTGCTGGCCTGTTAGGTGTATTGTGTCCAAATTTGGTGTCAGTTCACCCAGTGGTTTTTGAGTTATGTTAATCCCGCAAACAAACATTACATTTTTATTTATATAGACTAGCCGTCACCTGCCACGCATTGCTGTGGCCCACATGGGGGTTCTGTGTGGGAGGTTTGGCCCAATTCTATCATTGGTGTAATTCAGAATGCTCTGTAGGTGAACTATAAATCCCAGCAACTACAACTCCCAAATGTCAAGATTCTATTTTCCCCAAACTCCACCAGTGTTCACATTTGGGCATATTGAGTATTCATGTAGTGTTTGGTCCAGATCCATCATTGTTTGAGTCCACAGTGATCTCTGGATGTAGGTGAACTACAACTCCAAAACCAAAGACACTGCCCACCAAACCCTTCCAGTATTTTCTGTTGGTCATGGGAGAACTGTGTGCCAAGTTTGGTTCAATTCCTTGGTGGGGTTCAGAATGCTCTTTGATTGTAGGTGAACTATAAATCCCAGCAACTACAACTCCCAAATGACAAAATCATTTTTTTGAGTGAAGGACATACATTGGGTTGTTAGGTGTCTTGTGTCCAAATTTGGTGTCAATTCGTCCAGTGGTTTTTGAGTTCTGTTAATCCCACAAATGAACATTATATTTTCTATATATATAAATCTGTTAGGTTGGTTCAATCGGACAGCAAAACTCCACAACCCCCCAACGAAACTTAACCAAACTTCCCATGCCCATAACACAACCCACAAGGTACAAACATATCTACTCAAAATGAAAAACAACACAACAACACACTCACAAAACGGCAAAACAACAAAACTCAAAAAAACCCCAACGAAACTTAACCAAAATTCCCATGCCCATAACACAACCCACAAGGTACAAACATATCTACTCAAAATGAAAAACAACACAACAACACACTCACAAAACGGCAAAACAACAAAACTCAAAAAAAACCCAACGAAACTTAACCAAAATTCCCGTGCCCATAACACAACCCACAAGGTACAAACATATCTACTCAAAATGAAAAACAACACAACAACACACTCACAAAACGGCAAAACAGCAAAACTCCACAACCCCCCAACGAAACTTAGCCAAAATTCCCATGCCCAATACACAACCCACAAGGTACAAACATATCTACTCAAAATGAAAAACAACACAACAACACACTCACAAAATGGCAAAACAACTGAGCATGCGCATTGGCGCCCAGCCGCAAGTTCCCTGGCGCGCGCACACAGCCTTCCGGCCAACGTTCCCTCTGTGGAAGCCATGCCCACTCCAAGCCCCGCCGCGCCGCTTCCCGCACACACACACACCCTGCCGCACGCACACACACAACCCCACGCTCCATCACTCCCCCCCGCCGCACACACACACGCAACCCCACGCTCCATCACTCCCCCCGCCGCCGCACACACATACACAACCCCACGCTCCATCACTCCCCCCACCGCCGCACACACACACGCAACTCCACCCCCCGCCGCCGCACACACACACGCAACCCCACGCTCCATCACTCCCCCCGCCGCCGCACACACACACACAACCCCACGCTCCATCACTCCCCTGCCCCAATCTTACCTCCTTTTACTTCACGCCACCTCCAAACCCACCCCGCCCCTTCCCGCCCTGTCAAAATCCAGGAAAGACAGGAAGGAAGGAAAGAAGGAAGAAAGAGAAAGGGAGGAAAGAAAAGGGGGAAGGAAGGAAGTAGAGAAAGAAGGAGAAGAAAAGGAAGAAAGGAAAGAGGAAGGAAGAAAAGAGAGACAGAGAAGAGAAAGAAAGGGGGAAGGAAGGAAGAGAAGGTAGAGAAAAAGGAAAGGAAGGAAAGAGAAGGAAGAAGGGAAGAGAAGAAAGAGGGAGGGAAGGAAAGAGAGAAGGAAGAAGAGACAGAAGAGAAAGAGAGGGGAAGGAAGGGAGAGAAAAAAAAAGGGAATGAAGGAAGGAAAGAGGGAGTGAAGGAAGGGGGAAGATGTAGAGAAAGAGGGAGGGAAGGAAAGAAGGAAAGGGAGAAGGAAGAAAAGAGACCAGAAGAGAAAGAAAAAGGGGGAAGGAAGGAAAGAGATAGAGAAGGAAGAGGAGAAGGAAAGATGGGAGGGAAGGAGAAAAGGAAGGAGGGAAAGAAGGAGAGAAAGAGGGAAGGTTGGCCACAGCAACACGTGGCAGGTAAAGGTTGTTATTTCTATGATTATTATGATGCTATTATTCCTATGAGACCCTTTTAGGGGGAATGGGAGAGGTGTCAGGTCCCAGAGGCAATGCATTGCATTATTGTTATTGTTATGATGGTGGTGAAATAAAAGGAAATAAAAAGAGAAAGAAGGAAGCAAACAGGGAGGGAAGAAAGGCAAAGGAAGAAAGGGGGAGGGAATGAAGGAAAGAGAGAAGGATGAAACCAAGTAGTGAAAGAAGGAAAGAAAGAAAGAGGTAGAGAAGGAAGAAAGGAGAGAAAGGGGGAGGAAAAGGGGGAAGGAATAGGTAGGTACCTCTCTTTCATAATAGTCCAGATATCTACCTCAACTTTGATAAGTTTTACTATAGGCCACAGCAACGCGTGGCAGGGCACAGCTAGTATTTATATAGATTTCTGCTCCTTTCATTCCATCTGCCACTCCTTCCCTGTCGCTGACCATGGCATATGTTTTGTATTAGAAACTTGAGCAATTTTCTGAATTAGCACCCCAACTTGAATCTAAAGTTGACCAAAAATTGATTTGTAATCCTTTTGGTACTACTGTTGGAGAATGGTCCCTGGTCAAAAGAAGTTTGGGAACCACTGCTTTAGCGGCATCCAGCTCCAGCTCCTCACAAAACAAATACAGAGGTCTTTGTCATAGCAAATGTGTGAGATGTTTAGAGCAGTTGTGCCTTTTTTCTCCTTGTTTTATTCAGATGGAGCTGGAATCTTTGGGACCTTCCGTTCCTTCTGTCATCCACGATGAAAATGGGAATGTGATTGACAGCAGAGGAGGGGACCCGATTCAGTTTGTCTTTGAAGAGATTTCCTGGCAGAGAGAAATAAACTGGGAAGAGGCGGTCAGCAAACTGGAAATTGCCATGTATCCGTTTAAAAAAGTATGAAAAGAGTATGTCCTTAGTGTGTCCTTGTGGTTACATTATTGTCTTTACTTCCATTAAGGAGAACAAAGCTGAATTTCCGGGTGTTGTTTGGCAGTAGCAAAAGTGAACAAGGATTCATTTGACTTTAATGCCACCTGCTAACAAAGTGTGTCATCCGTTTTATCCAAGACTGGTGTCTTTTCAATGGAGTACATTTTCTTGAAGGATAGGTAGAAGCATTGGCTAAGGTCAAGGAAGAAGTTTGTAGCTGGGCTAACATCTTTTAGGTGCAGATGGGACTTTGAATGCTATATCATCCATCCTCGGCTTTATCAGGAATCCCTGGTGCCATTTGGAAAGCGGTAAATTATACCTCTGTGCGCATTTTCCTGCAGTGAGCGGAGAGAGGATTGCAGCAGTCTCAGCACTGCATTTTCCTTATCTACAGGAAACACAGAAGGCCTGTGCATTTTGGGAACTAGAAAAAGGAGTAAATTGAAAATGTGGGGTGTTAAACGTGATCCCCTGTTACTGCAGCAGCCAGAAACAGCTCTATCTAATGATCTTAATAAATGGGGTGGGAAGAAGTTTTTAAATTCATGTTAGAAGACATTGCTTGGGAATAGCTAACTCTCTGAGAAGACATTGCTTGGGAATAGCTAACTCTCTGAGAATGCTGCTTTCTCTCTGAGAAAGCAGCATTTCTATGTGTCTTTCTTGTGATCTTCAAAGTTGTAACTAACACATGTATCCTTAATAATAATAATAATAATAATAATAATAATAATAATAATAGATGAGAAACAACTGGAAAAGCTTACATGATATAAGGATTTAAAGATCGAACTGCAAAGACTCTGGCATAAGCCAGTCAAGGTGGTCTCAGTGGTGATCGGTACACTGAGTGCAGTGCCTAAGGACCTTGGCCTGCACTTAAAAACAATTGGCAATGACAAAATTAGCATCTGTCAGCTGCAAAAGGCCACCCAACTCGGATCTGCGTGCATTATTCGCCGATACATCACATAGTCCTAGACCAGTGGTTCTCAACCTGGGACCCCCAGATGTTTTTGGCCTTCAACTCCCAGAAATCCTAACAACTGGTAAACTGGCTGGGATTTCTGGGAGTTGTAGGCCAAAACGCCTGGGGACCCACAGGTTGAGAACCACTGTCCTAGACACTTGGGAAGTGCCAACATAGTAATTTTGTTTGCTGTGTACTAATCTTGTTATGTATGAAATAATAATAATGATAATAACAGTTCCATCTTTTCTCCTGCCTATGTCATCAGTTGGGAGCCCCCTCCCCTAGCACCAACTGCTGTTCTGGGCCAGAGTGAAGAGAGAGGGGGGCAGAAGATGGTTCCATCTTGTCTCCTGTGCCTTACATATAATATAATATAATATAATATAATATAATATAATATAATATAATATAATATAATATAATATAATATAATATAATAATGTATTGTATATACATATAATATTTATAATATTATAATGTAATACAATATAATAATAATACAATATTATAATTATATATTTTATATTACATGTAATATTAYTCATAATATTACAATATAATGGTATAGTACAATATAGYAATATATAATACTGATATTGTACTATGCTAATATTATAATATATTGTATGTATATATATCTTGTAAGCTGCTCTTAGTCCCCTTCAGGGTGAGAAGGACGGCATATAWATGTCGTAAATAAAGAAATAAACAATTATTATTTATTTATTTATATTCCGCCCTATCTCCCCAAAGTGACCTAGTCACAAAAAAGGCAAATATTCAAGGCCTGAACATAACAACTAATAAACACATAATAACAAAAATTAAACTACACAGCATATAAAACCAATTATAACTTAGCAAATTAGAATTAGATTTAGACAGAACCTATTATATTAAACATAAAACAAACATGAAGCAGAAGCATCTATTTCCCAGAGTCAACAGTATTCCTGGGGGGGGCGGGGGGCGGCATATAAGTTGATCATTGCTCAAGATGTCAACTGAGCTAGTGGGGCAGATAGGAGCCAAGTATGGATTGCAGATGTTACTCAGAGGTATAATGGCAATATCACTCATGATCTATTCCTCCTTCTCGTAAGCCAGTGAGCAGAAGTATGTCTTCAGCTGTTACTTAAAGGTGAAGAGGAAAGGTACGATCATTAGTTCTTAGGGAGGGAGTTCTAGAAGTGGGGGCCACCATGGAGAAGGCCCTTTCTCTTGTTCCCACCAGCCTTGCTTGAGATGGAGGCAGGGCTGAGAGCAGGGCCTCCTCTGATGACCATAGTGTCCAAGTTGTAGTGGGAAATGCGGTTCATCAAATAGCCAGGACCCAGGTCATTAAAAAAAATACTTCTCCCAATTAGGGATAAGTGAAGGGATGTGAAGAATATTTCTTTCCCTTCATATCCTTAAAAAATTGTATGCTGGCATTTGGGTCATCCCAATGGGGACACAAAGTTTTTTGCAGTTTGGGAAGTCTGTCAAAACTATGCAGAAATACAATTGGCGTTAATGTGTTTCTGTAAAGGAGACAATATCTTTGCTTTAAAATGGCTGAATTCTCTCCCCCTCCCAATGTATTTTTTTGTGCCAACAAATTGTTCCAAAAGACATGCAAAGTGGAAATAGTGGCTGAAAACTAAAGTACAATCCACATCCCCACAGGAAATACATTGCAGGCAATAGTAAATCCTATTGAATGAATGCCTTCTGGAAGAAACATAACAATGCTTTCTGGTGCCCTCCGTCCCCTTATGAGTCATCCCTCTGCTCCATCTCCCTATATTTCTTCTCCTTATCTTCTTTTGGTGGGGAGGAATCCGTCTGCTGAATGACAAAGTAGCAAAGCGGCAAAGCTGCTTCCTATCATACTATGCAGTTAACTGCCGTGGCCTTCATTTTAGTTCAAAATGTTGGGCGAGTGGGCTTATTAACAAAAGACCCTCCCCATAGATGTACAGCAGAGTGACTTATTAGCATCAGCGTGACCCAGCACCAGTCGCCCAAAGTGATAAAAAGAACAAAAACATACAGACCAATGTTATCCCTTCCATATGAGGTTTTTCTTTGTAGTAAAATAATATGGTTGCACTATTTACAAGAACAAGGTTGCTATAACACAAATAAAGCCCTTTATACTTCCTTCTTTGCTTCCACGTTGGGCTCCTTTCTCATGCAGATCAAAAGCTTCGCTCTCACAAAGCCTCTTCTCACACTAAACTTACACAGGAGCTTCACACGGTAGCCTTTTACACACAGCAGCCTTCACATGAGGCCTACAACTTGGGGCTTCTCTCACCAAAGCCTTCTCATACCAGGCCTTCTCACACACTGAGGCCTAGTAACACTAGGCTTACCTCACACTGAGGCTTCTCTCAGACTGAGGCCTCTTTCAAACTGAAGCCTCTTCATACTGAAGGCAACTAACACTGAGGCATATTAAGTTACAGGCACAGCTTCTTATATTGAACTGCAGCCTTTGTTGAGTCCTTGCATCCATTTAACCCTTTCAGTGCTTGACTCACATTTTTGTAATTGAAAATACCTAGTTAATAGGCCTGTTTGATCAAGAAAAAATTTGTTTCTAAAATCGATTTGTAATTGGGGTGTTTTTTTGTTTCGATATTTAAAATAATTACAAAACTTTCCAAAAAAAAGTTTTGGTATTTAAGAAATTTTGTAAATATTAACGAATTTTTAGAATATTTTTGGTTTATTTCTTAAGAATAATATTAAAATAATATTAAAAAATATTTTAAAATGGAAAATTAACCAAAAAATGGCCCAAATGTGGACCAAACACAGGCAGGATACAGCAAATGAGAGCACACACCAACAGAAGAGTCTTTTCTTTTTTAGAATATTTTTTAAGAATAATATTAAAAATAATATTAAAAAATAATATTAAAAAATAATATTAAAAAATAATATTAAAAAATAATATTAAAAAATAATATTAAAATATTTTAAAATGGAAAATTAACCAAAAAATGGCCCAAATGTGGACCAAACACAGGCAAGAGACAGCAAATGAAGCAAGCAGCACTCACAGCAGCAAGGAATGAATCCAATCCGAGTTGCTAGCCTAGCAGCCATTGCCAAGCCAACCCAATGCAAACTCCCTCGCCCTCTGCAGCAAGCTACGGGCCGCGCGGAGCATCAAATATGACAAATACAACAGCAATATAAAACAATAAATAAAACAATAGATTAAAAACAGTTAAAACATTATTATCACAATCATGTAGCCATTTCCATTATTATCACAATCATGTAGTCCAGTTCAACATCCAAAGTGCTGTCATGCCTGCTGGCCAGAAGCCTAGTTCCAAAACCATGATTTCAGTTTCTTCCTAAAGGAAAGGAGGGATGAAGCCGACCTGATCTCACTGGGGAGCAAATTCCACAGGCGGTGGGGGGATGGGTCACCACCGAGAAGGCCCTGCCCCTCGTCCCCACCAGATGTGTTTGCGAAGCTTGTAGGACCGAGATCAGGGTCTCCCCTGTTGATCTTAAACTACGAGGTGGAACATAGAGAGAGATAAGCTGGGCCGGAGCCATATAGGGCTTTATAGGCCAAGACCAGCACTTTGAATTGGGCTCGGAAATGGACCGGCGGACAGTAGACTGGAATGGTGGGATGGTATATGAGGGGTTCAGCTCACTTCATTGCTCTTCCTGCCTTTCTGTGAAGCCCCAAACAGTCACAAACTGGTCTCGTTCTGAGGAAGCTGTTTTGATTTTAAATGATGCAAGGATGCAGTCTCAACTACTGCTGAAGTCGTAACCCTTCAATTCCATAGGAGTTTTCAACTGCTTCCATCCCTGCAGAATCCATCTGCCTCTTCAGCTTTGCTTGGGGCCCCTCTGTGTTGTATTGCCTTGCAATGAGTGTAGAGGTGCCCCAGGCGTCCGCTCAGTGATCCCTGACTAGTGGCACCATGGTGTACATACAGTGTATAGTCCATGAAACAGTCTCCTCTGTCCTTATTCTACATCTGATTTGGTTTCAGCCTCTTTTGTTTCTTTCTCTGCTTTCAGGTTTCCTACCTTCCTTTTACTCGAGCCTTTGAGAGAGCAAAATCTGAAAGTAAACTTGTACATTCCATATTGTTGTGGGGTGCACTGGATGATCAGTCATGCTGAGGTAAGAGGTGTAGTTCTTGTTTGGAACGCCTTTTCAGGGAGCTTGTTGTGATGTCCCAAGCTGCCCCCTCGCACATAACCAGCACAAACATGAGGAAGATAATGTAGTGGATAAATTAATATTAGTTTAAGAGATAATTCGCATATTTTTAAAGTTGTGAGCTGCTTTAAGTCCCGAACCTGTGTAAAAAGCAGGGAAGGAAGGAAGGAAGGATATTTCACCCCCTCTCATAGGTTCCCTGTGCTGTCACGCGCTGGGCCTATGACAATGTCTGTTTACAGGACGTGCTTTTTGTATGCCCAACGGGACACCGGGGTGCCTCAGCTAAAGGGTCCCACAGGTTTCCCAACACAAAGTTCTGTAGAGGCTCAAACTAGGTTCAACAAAGTTCTTTATTAAGGCTTAAATCTTCGAACAATTAAATGCTATATAATCTTGGAAAACTGGTAGCTTTCTCGATCTGCCAACAAGGGACAGGCAACTGCTTGATCATCTGTTCCTATCTTCTTTAGGGAAACCTTCCGACCCCTCCTTGGGCAATCTTTCTTTACCCTGCTGGCCTGAGGCCCCAACTCCCGGCTCCAAGCTGCGTTATGGATAGCCCAAGTGGTCCCTTACCAGGCAATGGTTGCTGCAGATCTGCCAAGCTGGTGTCCTGTAGATTTCTCCATGAAGGCTGTAGGAACTATTTCTTTTGCCCAGCAAAAGTAAAAAGTAACTTTACTCCCCAGCAAAGCTGTAGAGGTTTTCCTTTTCCCCAGCAAAAGCTGTAAGAAGGGAAGCTTTTTACAGGTGGGACAGAGAAAGCCCACATGTCTTGCTGTAAGGCTCCAAACTGTGAGGCTGAACTAAAAGTCCCCTTTTCCCTCCAAAACCTGGGGAAAGGGGCGGATCTAAGGCTCTAATGATGATTGATAGGTTGTTGGCCCTATGACTGCAACCTGGGGAAAGCTACCCAATTGCAAAATGCATGGCCCAAATGGATTCATGCAAACTAACAGTGCAAGACAAAGAAATTCAAATCTCCTGGCACAGCCATGCCAGCACATTCCCCCTTGCAACAGTGGTTGACTGCAAGTGGCTTCTGGTGTGAGAGAATTGGCCGTCTGCAAGAACGTTGCCCAGGAATGCCTGGATGTTTTGATGTTTTATCATCCTTGTGGGTGGCATCTCTCATGTCCCCGCATGGGGAGCCATAGCTGACAGAGGGAGCTCATCCATGCTCTCCCCGAACCTGTTGGTCTTCAGTCTCCCGGCACATTGTGCCACCGGGCGCTCCTCCTTGCAGTTTCTGAAGTTGCTCCTGACACAAAAAAAGTGGTTGACTGGTTCTACTCAGGTTTGCCTTTCTCTTTGCCTCACACTCTCTCATTTCCTTGACCTTCACTATTTTGGGGTGCCATACTGTGCAGTGTATTCCTGACTTTAAGACAGCTTTCAATATGTTTTGTACAGTAATAAGACAGTGGTTCTCAACCTTCCTAATGCCACAACCCCTTAATCCAGTTCCTCATGTTGTGGTGACCCCCAACCATAACATTATTTTCGTTGCCACTTTGTAACTGTAATTTTGCTACTCTTAGGAATTGTAATGGAAATATCCAACATGCAGGATGTATTTTCATTCACTGGACCAAATTTTGTGGGGCTGGGTGGGATTGATTTTGTCATTTGGAAGTTGTAGTTGCTGGGATTTATAGTTCATCTACAATCAAAGAGCATTCTGAATTTCACCAATGATGGAATTGAACCAAACTTGGCACACAGAACTCCCATGACCAACAGAAAATACTGGAAGGGTTTGGTGGGCATTGACCTTGAGTTTTGGAGTTGTAGCTCACCTACATCCAGAGAGCACTGTGGACTCAAACAATGATGGATCTGGACCAAACTTGGCACAGAAACTCAATATGCCCAAATGTTAACACTGGTGGAGTTTGTGGGGAATAGACCTTGACATTTGGGAGTTGTAGTTGCTGGGATTTATAGTTCACCTACAATCAAAGAGCATTCTGAACCCCACCAACGATAGCATTGGGCCAAACTTCCCACACAGAACCCCCATGACCAATAGAAAATACTGTGTTTTCTGATGGTCTTTGGTGACCCCTCTAACACTCCCTTGTGATCCCCCCCAGGGGTCCCGACCCCCAGGTTGAGAAACACTGCTCTAAGACCTGTCCCCATGTTGACCATTTTGAGAGCTCTTACTGGAAGTTGTCTTTGCCCATTCTCTCCTGGGTTCTTGGCTTGCTAGGCAGTTGAGCCTGTGCTTCCAAAGTGTTACCATGATGGGTTGCTGTGAGTTTTCAGAGACCACCAAATACAGTGCAAAAACACATATCAAGGAACATGAAAGGCACTGCAGACTAATTCAGCCAGAGAAGTCAGCCATAGCAGAGCACCTGATGAACCAACCTGGACACAGCATATTATTTGAGAACACAGAAATGCTGGACCACTCTCACAACTGTAATGTCAGACGACACAGAGAAACCATTGAAATCCACAATCATGTGGACAATTTCAACAGAAAGAAGGAAACCACCTAAAAACTCTAAAATCAGGACAGTAAATTAAGAACAATACTCAATCACAGGGGAATTCCAGACAAGAAACAATCAGGGCCAGCTAACACCTCCCAACAAAGGATTTCTTGGGCAGTCCTTGAAGCTGCAAGGCCATTCAATGGTAATCAAAGTGGCCAATTACAACATTCACACTTGTCTCAATCATACAAGAGTTCTTTCTCCCACCTTGGACATTCCACGGGAATATAAACCTCCCTTGTCTAGTTTCCAATATACCTCACAACCTCTGAGATGCTTGCCATAGGTGCAGGCAAAATGTCCAGAGAGAATGCTTCTGGAACATGGCCATACAACCCAGAAAACTCACAGCAATCCAGTGATTTCGGCCATGAAAGCCTTCAACAACACATTGTACCATGATTCTTTTGAAGTGTCAAATTTTCAAAATCTACACCGCATATCCCATAGGTTTGTGTTGAGATTTCATTTAATAGTTGTTTCCCCATCCTTTTCTCTCTGTGACAGGTTCAGGGCGAACTCTCCGGGAAACAGTCCTGGAAAGTTCGCCCATCCTTGCTTTTCTGAATGAGAGTTTCATCAGTACCTGGTCATTGGTGAAGGAACTAGAGGATTTGCAGGTAAGGATCCCATTGGATGAGGCTAGGTTTGAGACAGGAGTTTGACAACATGGGGAGATGATGGGAAACTTGAGAGGGTTTATCAGGAGTCTACAAACTTCAGCACTGATATCCCTTCCAAGAATCCAAAGAAACTAAGTTTGTTATTGGCTGAGGGATGGGGTGGCTGGTGGATCAGGTGAAGCAGCTATCATAAAAGGCAGATAAAGAAGAAAAGGAAGACATATTTTTTGTTATTAAAATACAGTGAAATTTAGGAATATTTCTAATCCCAATTATCACAGTTTATACTGTACTAAACTAACTAACTGCTCCTCATTGAGGACTTGAGACTTAAGCAGTGTGAGATTTGAATTCCAACAAATATATCCATAGTAACAATTTCATGTTTTTATATCAAACTAGCCGTCCCCTGCCATGCATGGCTATGGCCCAGTCTGTGTTTATGTGTTTTGTGTGTGTATATATTTGTGTATATGTATATATATATGTGTTTGCATATATATGCGTGGTTTTGCACATGTGTTGTATTTTTTTGTTTTTTGGCTTTTTAAGTCCCTTCCACTGTGTTTTTCAGTGTTTTTATGAGTGATGGTCACTTGTTGGCCTGATAGGTGTATCGTGGCCAAATTTGGTGTCACTTCATCTAGTGGTTTTTGAGTTATGTTAATCCCACAAACAAACATTACATTTTTATTTATATAGATGGCATTTGCTGACTTGAATCTAATTTTAAAATTATCATGTGATTCAGATTGACCTCAGTGTTGGTCTAGCGGTCCATTCACACTGCACAGCTATAGTGCTATTGTTCTATTTTAGCTGCCAATATTCCCTTCTATGGGTTTGTCGTTTGGTGAAGAGCTAGAACTCTCTGGCTGGGAATTCTAGGCATCCTTCTCTAAACTGGGTCCACGTCATTTAAAGTGGAATGATACTGCTATAATTGGACAGTGTGGAAGGTCAGTGCTTCTTGATAGATATAAGAGATTGAAAATGTGTGCCCTTTCCCCACAGGCTAAGAGAGAGGATGAATTCAACAGCAGACTTGCAGACCTGCACCTTGAAAAGTATAACTTTCCTGTGGAGATAATGATATGCCTCCCCAATGGCACTGTGGTAGGATCTAATTCTACTTTGTCACATCAATTGCTTCTTATCTGCCTCTTTTGTCTATTGGGATTGCCAGCTTGACATACTTGAAATAGGAGCCAGTTATCTAGCGTGCATTTCCCCATTCTCATATCTGAAAGGCCTTCTGATTTGGAGGCTGACTCGGGGAATGCACTTTGACTTCTTCCATCACTCAAGAACAGAGCTTGGAAAACCATTTTTAAAGTCATTGGCTATGTAACTCACTATTAAGCCTGTGAAACAATTAGTTGCCACTGACCATTCAGTACCTTGTTACGTTCCTGTTGTGGTACTTATTTCTTTTTCTGTCATTGTTTTTGGGGAGAGGCAACCTCCGTCCAAATGGCACAGAACTTATGTCTCTTAAAAAGATGTGGAATGCCCTAAAAGAATAACGTGAACAGTAATTTGAAACTGGGTTGCTGTGGGTTTTCCAGGCTGCATGGCTATGGTCCAGGCCAGACACCCCAGAAAACTCACAGCAACCTAGTGATTCCAGCCATGAAAGCCTTCGACAACACAGTAATTAGAAATGTTGCTTGCTCTGTCAAGAGGCAAGTTGTTCCTGTTCTTCATGTTGCTTTTAAAGATAAACAGTTATATCCTCTGTGTTGTCAGAGGCTTTCATGGCCAGAATCACTGGGTTGCTGTAAGTTTTCCAGGCAATGTGGCCATGTTCCAGAAGCATTCTCTCCTGATGTTTCAACCACACCTATGGCAGGCATCCTCAGAGGTTGTGAGGACTGTTGGAAACTAGGTGAGTGAGGTTTATATATTTGTGGAATGTCCAGGGTAGGAGAAAAAACACTTGTCTGCTTGAGGCAAGCGTGAATGTTGCAACTGGCCACCTTGATTAGCATTTAATAGCCTTGCAGCTTCAGTGAAGAAACACAACGTAAAAACAATCTACAAACCCACTACGAAAATCCAACAAATGCTACATTCAGCAAAGGACAAGAGGGATCCTTTCACCTCTGCAGTAGTTTACCCTATACCAGGGGTCCACAAACTTTTTAAACAGAGGGCCAGGTCACAGTCCCTCAAACTGTTGGAGGGTCGGATTATAATTTCAAAAATAATAATAAATGAATTCCTATGCACACTGCACATATCTTATTTGTAGTGCAAAAACACTTAAAATACAATAATTAAAATGAAGAACAATTTTAACAAATATAAACTTATTAGTATTTCAGTGGGAAGTGTGGGCCTGCTTTTGGCCGATGAGATAGGATTGTTGTTGTTGTGTGCTTTCAAGTCGTTTCAGACTTAGGCTGACCCTGAGCGAGGGCCGGGTAAATGACCTTGGAGGGCCGTATCCGGCCCCTGGGCCTTTGTTTGAGGACCCCTGCCCTATACTATGCAGCTGTGGACAAGTCTCCATAGAGACCCCCAAACGCAGCAGCATTGCAGACTAATTCAGCCAGAGAAGTCAGCTATAGCAGAGCACCTGATGAACCAACTTGGACACAGCATATTATCTGAGAACACAGTAATGCTGGACCACTCTAACAACCATCATGTCAGACTACATGAGGAGTGGCTTAAAGAGCTGGGCATGTTTAGCCTGAAGAAGAGAAGGCAGAGAGGAGACATGATTGCCATGTATAAGTATGTGGGAGGAAGTAATAGGGAGGAGGGAGCAAGCTTGTTTTCTGCTGCCCTGGAGACTAGGACGTGAAACAATGGCTTCACACTACAAGAAAGGAGATGTCATCTGCACATTAGGAAGAACTTCCTGACTGTGAGAGATGTTCATCAGTGGAACTCTCTGCCCCGGAGTATGGTGGAGGCTCCTTCTTTGGAGGCTTTTAAACAGAGGCTGAATGGCCATCTGTCGAGGGTACTTTGAATGCAATTTCCCTGCTTCTTGGTAGAATAAGGTTGAACTGGATGGCCCATGAGGTCTCTTCCAATTCTTTGATTCTATACACAGAGAAGCCATTGAAATCCACAAGCATGTGGACAATTTCAACAGAAAGGAGGAAACAATGAAAATTATCAAAATCTGGCTACCAGTATTTAAAACAATTCTAAAATCTGGACAGTAAATAAAGAGGAACTTTATAAACAGTTAAAACTTGTGCGCCAGCTGTGCCCATACCTTGGGAAGTCTGTCTTGGCCACGGTAGTCCATGCTCTAGTTACATCCCGTATAGACTACTGCAATGCTCTCTACGTGGGGTTGCCTTTGAAAACTGCTCAGAAGCTCCAAATGGTCCAACGTTCAGCAGCCATGATACTAACAGGAGCGGCACTCAGGGAGCATACAACTCCTCTGTTGCGCCAGCTCCACTGGCTGCCAGTCTGCTACCGGGCACAATTCAAAGTGCTGGCATTGGCCTATAAAGCCCTAAACGGTTCTGGCCCAACTTACCTGCCCGAACACATCTCCTCCTATGAACCAGTTAGGACATTAAGATCATCTGGGGAGGCTCTGCTCTCGGTCCCGCTTACGTCACAGGTACATCTGGCGGGGTCGAGAGACAGGGCCTTCTCAGTGGTGGCCCCTCAGCTGTGGAATGCCCTTCCTACAGAAATTAGATTTGCCCCCTCTTTATTGGCATTTCGGAGGAAAGTGAAGACCTGGTTGCTTGAGCAGGCATTTGAATAGGCAGTGTAATGAACATAGGAATACGGAGCAACGGATGAAGAGATTAGATCTTGATTTTGCTTGAGACTCTAATGAGATGTTATATTGATGTTTAACTGTTTATCATGTTACTATTTTAATCGTTTCAACTGTTTTTTATGATGTCAAGCATTGAATTTTTGCTATTGTTAACCGCTTTGAGTCGCCCGAGGGCTGAGAAAAGAGGTATATAAATGAAGTAAGTAAATAAATAAATAAATAAGGAACACTCAAACAGCAGGAGAATTCCAGACAGGAAACGATCAGGACCATCTAACACTTCCCAACAAAGGATGCTTTGAAGTTTCAAGGCCATTTAGTTGCAACATTCACACTTGCCTCAAGCAGACAAGAGTTCTTTCTCTCACCCTGGACATCCTTCCAAAGATATATAAATCTCACTTGCTTAGTTTCCAACAGATCTCAAAACCTCCTGATGTTTCACCCACATCTATGGAAAGCATCCTCAGAGATCGAGAGGGACCGAGCCCATTCTTCACTGTGTCAGCAGAAGTTCAGGAGGAAATAATCTGCACAAGAAGTTGCATTTATGTGAGTTTCCCTCCCTAAACCCATGTTTCATTTCCCAGGTCCACCACATCAATGCCAATTACTTTCTGGATATCACTTCTATGAAGCCAGAAGAAGTGGAGAGCAGCATCTTTAGTTTTTCTACCAGTTTTGAAGACCCATCAACTGCAACCTACCTCCAGTTTCTGAAGGAAGGACTTCAAAAAGCAAAACCGTTTCTGCAGACCTAAACCGAAAAAGTAAATCTGTTGATCACCAAAGATTCAAGAGTCCTTGTTTCCGATGCCCTTTGCGGTCGGGCAATATTGAATAGTAAAGCACTGTACTTGAATGAAAGGGCTCTAGACAAGTAAGCGCCCCTTGGAAATATGAAGCTGCGTCATTTATAATTACCAGTTTTTCAAGACTGTTTTGGAAGGAGATGAATGTATTGTTCTCTTTCTTACCAGCAAATTGCGAAAATTCTCTGAAGCAAGTCATTTGATTGCCAGTGGCTGAGACTGGGGATGGAGCAACAAATGCCTCAGATAGGGATGTAGTTCCTAAGCTGTGAGGCCTACCAGCAAATTCAGTCTCAAGCAAAGTTTTAAAATTTTTGGTTCACATTCCTTTAGTATAGAGCTGAACACAGCACACCAATCCAGAGTGCACCTTCCAGCGTCCTGCATTAGATGCTGTGCTTGCTAGGAGTGGTGGGATCTTTAAACTGGGAGATGTGTACATTGTCCTCTCGTCATTGTAAGACTTTTACCAACTGCTCTATTGATTTTTGAAAGGGATGCCATCTTTATGCCTCATAGCTTGGTGCTTTTCAAGGCCCTGAAGTGCCTGTCATAGTTAGCACATTTTAGAAAGGTTACATTATAAAGCACCATTTGGCTTTGTGGTGATGTCAGTAGGTCACAGATATCAAGCTGTGAGCTTAAATGGCTAATACAAGGCAAAACGTACTTTGGTTTTACATTCTTACTGTTATCTGAGAAGCTGCTTGGGTCGGTGCTGTTGCAGAGCTTGGATTATGGGAGTTGCAATCTGCCAAAAATAATATTTCCGAGTTTTAGCTGCTACACAGATGTAAGACGTAAAATAGTATTTCTGGATTTTTACCTTGGATTACACTATCCAACAAAATTTGAAAAAAAATCTATTCCTGGCTTGAAAGTGTTATTACCTGTTTAATTGTGTGTGATAAGGTAAAGGTAAAGGTTTCCCTTTGACATTAAGTCTAGTTGTGTCCAACTCTAGGGGTTGGTGCTCATCTCCATTTCTAAGCTGAAGAGCTGGCGTTGTCCGTAGATGCCTCCAAGTCCATGTGGCCAGCATGACTGCATGGAGCATTGCTACCTTCCCACAGAAGCGGTACCTATTGTTCTACTCACATTTTTATGTTTTCAAACTGCTAGGTAGGCAGAAACTGAGGCTAATAGCAGGAGCTCACGCTGCTCCCCAGATTCAAACCGCCGACCTTTCGGTCGGCTAGTTAAGCACTTCAGCAGTGCCACTGGGGGCTCCTAATTGTGTGGTACTTACTTTGAAAGTTGTTGTTATACTCCAGAAACTTTGTTTTTGTTTCTGCCACAAACTACGAGGGATATCTGGAAAGTAAGGTTACAATATTTTTTAAATACAAAGAATAAATATATTTTAATAAAAATTACATTGATTATAGCAGGGGTCCACAAACTTTTTAAACAGAGGGCCAGGTCACAGTTCTTCAAACTTTTGGAGGGCCAGATTATAATTTGAAAAAAAAAAACATGAATGAATTCCTATGCACACTGCACATATCTTATTTGTAGTGCAAAAAAAACACTTAAAAACAATACAATAATTAAAATGAACAATTTTAACAAATATAAACTTAGTATTTCAATGAGAAGTGTGGACCTGCTTTTGGCTGATGTGATAGGATTGTTGTTGTTATTGTGTGCTTTCAAGTTGTTTCAGACTTAGGTTGAGTGAGGGCCAGGTAAATGACCTTGGAGGGCTGTATCCGGCCCCCGGGCCTTAGTTTGAGGACCCCTGGATTATAGCACAGGTGTTACATTATTTTTCCTTATAATTACCATTTAGTTCAGTACATGTTGTCATCCGTGGAACACATTTTTAATGTGTGTGTCATAGAAGTTTCCCTCCGCCTTTTTCAGCCAATTTGTCACTTCAGTTTTCACCTCTTTGTTGTTGAAAAAGTGCTTTCCACCCAGGTGTTCCTTCAATTTGGTGAACAGATGATAGTCACTGGGTGCAAGATCAGAGCTGTGAGGGTGAGGCTGAAAACATCCCAACCAAATGAAGTCAACAACTCTTGTGTTGCATGAACGGTGCGTGGAAGCTCATTGTCATGAAGGAGACAGGCTCCTGTCATCAGCATCCCACCATGTTTGCTTTGGATGGCTCTGCACAATATATTCTGATGGTCGTGATGGTCTCACAATATATTCCATACCCATTTTGTCACATGCTGTCTTGACATTAAGTCCTTACAGCAGCGTTCATGCCCTTAGCATTTGGGTAGCGTATTACAGTGCAAACTTCGCACTTGGAGGGAAACGGAATGAGGACGCTCATCTTTAACCTTAACCACTATGCCAGTCGATGAGCTACTGACGACTAGCACTGGTCGTTCGCTTCTGCTGGCTTTCCACTACACGGCAGTGATACCAACTTCCTCCATGAAAATTCCCCATGAGAGCTACGTGCCTTGTAACCTTACTTTCCGAATAACCCTTGTATATTGAATTGGTTGAGACTTGATGAGAGAATCATTGAAAAACTATAACAAAATGTGCTGCAGGATGTCCCACAGAAACAAAGTTTTTGCAGTTTAATAACCTTTTCCGATTTTTAATAATAGAACCAATTAGGAAATGAAATTTATAACCCAAGAACAAAAATTGTGTTACATGGTGTTATTAAAGGCTCTGTTGTTGTCGTCTTTATGCGCAGGTATTCCTTTGGAATCCAGGCTTAGGCTTCAAGTCTCCAGTTGTTGATCCCAAGTATATTTTAATCACTGTCAACAAAGCTAACAAATTGTTTTGTAAAGCAGACACAGAATGAGTGGACTACATTCATAGTGATCACGTCAGTGCCAAACCTTTTACAGGCTTTTTTAAAAATCACAAAAGCAGCTATTCTCAGTCACAATCATGTGAACTCACAACACCCACAATCCTGGGATTTTTCTTAGCTCATGATGTTTCCTGCAAATTGATTTATTCATTCCAAGATTTCTTTTAAGTTCACAACAGCCTCCAGTTTGAGAATTGTCAGAAATATTAAATATTAACTAGGTATTTTTGATTACAAAAGTGTGAGCCAAGCACTGAAAAAGTGAGTAGGCCGAAGCCTGCTAGAGTCAGTGGGCCAAAGCTAGTGTTGTCCTGAGGAGAGTGAGTTGGCCAAAGCCTGTTAGAGTCAGTGGGCCAAAGCTAGCGTTGTCCTGAGGAGAGTAGGTAGGCTGAAGCCTGTTAGAGTCAGTGGGCCAAAGCTAATGTCATCCTGAGGAGAGTGAGTAGGCCAGAGCCTATTAAAGTCAGTGGGCCAAAACTAGTGTCGTCCTGAGGAGAGTGAGTTGGCCAAAGCCTGTTAGTGTCAGTGGGCCAAAGCTAGTGTCATCCTGAAGAGAGTGAGTAGGCCGAAGCCTGTTAGAGTCAGTGGGCCAAAGCTAGTGTCATCCTGAGGAGAGTGAGTAGGCCAAAGCCTGTTAGAGTCAGTGGGCCAAAGCTAGTGTTCCTGAGGAGAGTGAGTAGGCCGAAGCCTGTTAGAGTCAGTGGGCCAAAGCTAGTGTCGTCCTGAGGAGAGTGAGTAGGCCAAAGCCTGTTAGAGTCAGTGGGCCAAAGCTAGTGTCATCCTGAGGAGAGTGAGTAGGCCAAAGCCTGTTAGAGTCAGTGGGCCAAAGCTAGTGTCATCCTGAAGAGAGTGAGTAGGCCAAAGCCTGTTAGAGTCAGTGGGCCAAAGCTAGTGTCATCCTGAGGAGAGTGAGTAGGCCAAAGCCTGTTAGAGTCAGTGGGCCAAAGCTAGCGTTGTCCTGAGGAGAGTGAATAGGCCGGAGCCTGTTAGAGTCAGTGGGCCAAAACCAGTGTCATCCTGAGGAGAGTGAGTTGGCCAAAGCCTGTTAGTGTCAGTGGGCCAAAGCTAGTGTCATCCTGAAGAGTCAGTAGGCCGAAGCCTGTAAGAGTCAGTGGGCCAAAGCTAGTGTTGTCCTGAGGAGAGTCAGTAGGCCGAAGGCTGCTTGAGTCAGTGGGCCAAAACTAGTGTCATCCTGAGGAGAGTGAGTAGGCCGAAGGCTGTTAGAGTCAATGGGCCAAAGCTAGTGTTGTCCTGAGGAGAGCAAGTAGGCCGAAGCCTGTTACACTCAGTGGCCAAAGCTAGTGTCGTCCTGAGGAAAATTAATAAGTAGTTCGAAGCTTGTTAGAGTTAGTGGGCCAAAGCTAGTGTCATCCTGAGGAGAGTGAGTAGGCTGAAGCCTGTTAGAGTTAGTGGGCCAAAGCTACTGTCGTCCTGAGGAGTGTGAGGTAAACCTTTGTGTGAGAAAGCTCCAGTATCAAGGCTGCTGTGTGTAAAGCTACTGTGTGTTTGTTTGTTTGTTTGTGTTTGAGAACCACAACCCAGTCTCATAGCACTAAAAGTTTGAAGAACAGAGAAGCATCTGCATAATAAAAGCACACAAATGGTGATCAGACAGGGAGGCGGAGGTGGATAGATGAGTAAATTCCTCTTAACAAACCTTTCACCTTCTGTTATGTCTGTAATAGGAGGGAATTCAGCCACTGGTAGGTGTTCCCCATTTTGTCTTCTATAAGTAGTACAAAATGTTTACATGTCCTCATGAAACAGCTTGAAAAAAAAAACACTTTGGATTATAGGTGCAGAGTCAGGAAGGCAGTATAATCCCTTATTATATGGGGTTCTGGGAGGTTAAGGTCCCCCCAAAAAAAGAAGAAGAGCATTCCTAAACTCTGAATGTAGATGTGGCAAATGTGTATGTGGAATTCAAATTGGCTATAGCAGGTATGGGCAAACTTTGAGCCTGCAGGTGCTTAAGTGGCTGAAGGGGGAAAGGAAGAGGCTTATTAGTACATGGAAGACGATCACATTTAAACATAGTCCAGAGCTATATTTTCTCTGCTGTTCTTAATGTATGAGGCCAATTCGGCAAAAGTATGATAGCTGGGACCCAATGCTGGTTGCGCAACGCAGGTCAGAATTAGAGAAGCAATATCCGGATAGCCTAAATCACTGTGCTTTGCTGTTTCCTAACCCCCTTTCTGCCAAACTATCTTGCCACAACTGTCACACCTCCATCTCTCACTCGCTGTCCTGTCTCATGCACGTCTTCGCTTTTCTAATTCTGACCCCGTTTCACAACCAGCATTGGATCCCAGCTATCATATTTTTGCTGCCAATTATGTGCTTGTGTGCTCAGAAGTTAGGTCAACTGCATATAGTAGCCTCATCCCTAAATAATAGCACGCAAGTTGTAGTTTTCAGTCAAGGGCCCCTAGGATTGTCTGATAGAAGTTCTTCAATCATGAAGAATCAGGCTCTATGCACAATGTTGTTTCTTTCTTTCTTTTTTTGGAAGATTGAAGCATCCTGTTTTCCTCTAGTAGTTATTTTAAAGCTTGCAAAATTCACACTGAACAATATATATATATATATATATATATATATATATATATATATATATATTCATTCTATTATTTGTCTTCCAGTATTTCCAGCCATCATGAGCCACTGTCCTCCCAGGCCCCAATTACAATATATTGAGTTGGCTCTAGATTGTCATATTTAGAGAATTCCCGCTGATTTTAGTGTTTCTACTTAAAGCATAATGAAGTTGGGACCCCATTTATTGTCGGTCTGTTCCTTCTCGCTCTCTCCTGTGTATTTTTCAATGCTATCAAAATGCATTTAAGCTAATAATGATCCTCGTAACATTATGTGATGGTGAAATCCATGGACACGGGGGCATTAATGTAATGCATATTCATATAATCGGGCCATAAAAATCAGAATGAGCAAGTAAAGCCCTTTGTTTTCTTTTACAGTCCATTTCTCCTGGGGCGAGATTTGGTGCTGTTGTTACTCTTGTTTTCAATCTTTTGAAAGGTAAATGAGAGGGAGCTTCCTGCTGACATATAGCAACGCACTCAACCTGTAAATAAGGGATAAATTGTATTGGATGGTCCCCCTGAAATTATTGCAAGACATAACATCCATCACTACATTGCTTAGAATCTCCGCTTCCAGAAGCCCCGGAATAACTAGAGATCAGGGATGATAAGAGCAGCTGTCCAAAACAATTAGAAATCAAAGCTTCCTTACAATCACAATCCAAACACTTTTGCCAATTTTATCTACTCTTAATTTCCAGCTAATGATGAGAATTATGTCTTAACTTTTTTAAAAAAACGTGTGCCAAGTGTTTTGTATTGATATCGTCTCTATATTTCAAGAATTTTATAGCTATTTTGATAACTTCCGAGAGAGGAAAATGGAAAGAGGTGCTACTTTTTTTCTCCGCCTTCATCTGTTCTCTGTGACGGTCTGGCCTTAAATCAAGCACGGGTCAAGCCTGATTTCTGACAGTTGTCTGCTGGAGAAAAGAGAACCTCTGCCATTTTTGCCTCTTATTTTTTTAATGATTGTAATGTAAAGGTTTTTTCTCCCTTAAGCATTTACTTCCCAGAGGCAGTATTTTTAGAAGATGTGAGCTTCCTCCCATGCTGTCCATTCAGTGTTAGACAGGGAATGATTTAGACCTAATCAGTGTTACTAATAATAAAGGATATTAAAAGACTTATGCTGGACAGTGTTTTTGTAGTTGTGTTGAAAAGACCTGAAGTATTACAAATTGCAGAAAATGTGTCATCAGTAATGTGCGATCTACTTTTTAAATACTCATTTAGGATCATGAGTCCAAGGATCTTGACTAGTAGCATTACTGCAATCCTCCAAATCCCAAATGTATTGTGAACTGAATAAACTGTTCTGATGATACGTATTCTTTTCACTAACGCAAGCCTGCCTGTAGTCACATACTGTCCAGTTTAACTACCGTTATTTCAGTATTTTCTAAAGACATCATAGATGTGTTATTGTATAGAATGCCCTCGGCACTGCCTCCTGTAGTCATTCAGTGTTTTTCTAATAATAAAAATGGGAAACCCAAATGCTTGTAGTGTTTGTGCTTTATGTGTTAATACCAAGAAATAGTTTTCTAAGATCTACAGAGACACTCGCTGGAACACCTCAGCAAACGAGAGTCCAAAAGTGGAAGGCTCAAACCCAGAACCTCAATCAATGGCTGATACCAAATGAAAGACCCCCCTGGGCACACAGAAAACTGGGCGACTTGAAAGGCACTGAACAGATTGCGCTCTGGCACCACGATGTGCATACCCAATCTTAAGAAATGGGGCTACAAAGTGGAATCCACAACATGCGAGTGTGGAGAAGAGCAAACCACTGACCACCTGCTGCAATGCAACCTGAGTCCTGCTACATGCACAATGGAGGACCTTCTTGCGGCAACACCAGAGGCACTCCAAGTGGCCAGATACTGGTCAAAGGACATTTAATCAACTGCCAAGCTTGCAAACTTTGTGTTTTGTTTTGTTTTGTTAAAAATGTAATACAAATGTCTGGTTGCTCCTGACACGATAAATAATAAACCACAGAAGTACATGTTGTATGTGACTAGCAAAATGGGAATGGCAACATTGAATTTTTGGCACACCTTGAAGAACATATTGTAGCATACAGTGAAAAACGTGTTACTCGTGCCATCTCTTTTTATGACTTCACATGTCAACGCAACGTTACACTAAGCCTTCCACACACTCTGTGGTGAGTGGCACAGGACCCCCATGAAAGTAGGGAGAAAGCACATTAGAAAAAGAGTTCTGTAGGAGTTCCTAGGTCCTCCAGTGCGGTTCTGTGGTCAGCGTGAGCCAAACAAAATCCTATATACATTTTATCTGAAAAGAAACCCCACAGGATTGAATTCACCATGAAAAAGCACACTCAGTTTTATGTATGCAAGGTGTCCTAATGGTCCTACATCCTTTAGCAGACATCTAAAGCAGTGGTTCTCAACCTGTGGGTCCCCAGATGTTTTGGACTTCAACTCCCAGAAATCCTAACAGCTGGTAAACTGGCTGGGATTTCTGGGAGTTGTAGGCCAAAACACCTGGGGACCCACAGGTTGAGAACCACTGATCTAAAGCATAGTTGTGTTAGTCTATCAAGGGTTATTGCAAAGGCTATTGTTGGGGGTGCCTTGATTATGCATTTGCTGCATGCCAGAAGGGGGTTGACTGGGTAGCCCCTGGAGTTGCTATTATTATTATTATTATTATTATTATTATTATTGTATTGTCGAAGGCTTTCATGGCCGGAATCACTGGGTTGTTGTAGGATTATTATTATTATTATTATTATTATTATTATTATTATTATTTTACTGACACAAAAGCACAGTATATCACAGCAAACGAGCTCTATATGCTGGATTTCGTATCACAAAATCACAAGTCGAATACTTCCCAAGCGTCTAGGACTGTGTGATATATTTTCGAATGATGCGCACAGATCCAAGTCAGGTGGCCTTTTGCAGTTGACAGATTGTGATTTTGTCGATGTTTATTGTTTCCAAATGCCGGCTGAGATCTTTTGGCCCGGCACCCAGTGTGCCAATGACCACTGGGACCACCTGTACTGGTTTATGCCAGAGCCTTTGCAGTTCGATTTTGAGGTCTTGATAGCGGCTGAGTTTTTCCTGTTGTTTTTCCTCAATGCGACTGTCACCTAGAATGCTTACATCAATAATCCAGACTTTTTTCTTTTCCACAATCGTGATGTCTGGTGTATTGTGTTCCAAAACTTTGTCAGTCTGGATTCAAAAGTCCCACAGTATTTTTGCGTGTTCATTTTCCATTACCTTTGTGGGTTTATGATCTCACAAATTCTTTACTGCTGGCAGGTGGTACTTGTGACATAAGTTCCAGTGAATCATCTGGGCCACAGAGTTGTGTCTTTGTTTGTAGTCCATCTGTGCAATTTTCTTGCAACATAATAATAATAATAATAATAATAATAATAATAATTATTATTATTATTATTATTATTATTATTATTATTATTAGATACATAACAAGATCAGTACACAGCAAACAAGATCATTATGCTGGCTTTTGTATTTGATCCGAAAAATACTGCAAATCTGTTGAGCAGACAGATGGACAAATGTCAGTTGTGCTGGTAGAAGCAAAGACCACCAGCAATGAAGCGATGGTCCTCTGCCATCAACTCCACTGGACCGGCCACTTTGTCTGAATGCCCAACCACCGTCTTCCAAAGCAGTTGCTCTACTCCAAACTCAAGAACGGAAAACTGAATGTTGGAGGACAGGAAAGATTTTTAAAGATGGGCTCAAAGCCAACCTTAAAAACTGTGGCATAGATACCGAGAACTGAGTAGCCCTGGCCCTTGAGTGCTCCAGTTGGAGGTCAGCTGTGACCAGCGGTGCTGTAGCATTTGAAGACGCACAAATGGAGGGCGAAAGAGAAAAACGTGCCAAGAGGAAGGTGCCCCGACCGGGACTGCCTTCCACCTGGAAACCAATGCCCTCACTGCGGGAGAACACGCAGGTCAAGAATAGGGCTCCATAGTCACCTACGTACCCACCGCCAGTACACCGACCTTGGAGGACAATCTTACTCGGACAATGAGGGATCACCTATGTAAGTAAGTAATATAATATATTACAACATTATTAATACTTTTATTTATTTATTTACAACATTTATATTCCACTCTTCTCAATCCGAAGGCGACTCAAGCAGCTTACAAGTTATATGTATATACAATATATATCATTAGCATAACACAATATTAATATAATATATTGCTATATTGTATATATAGCAAGGGGGATTCAAAGCGGCTTACAAGTTATATGTATATACAATATATATTATTAGCATAACACAATATTAGTATAATATATTGCTATACCACTATACTGAAATATTATTAGTAATATTACATGCAATATATAATATATAATTATATTATTTTATTGTATTATTAGCAGTTGTTCATTCATTCAGTCGTCTCCGACTCTTCGTGACCTCATGGACCAGCCCACGCCAGAGCTCCCTGTCGGCCGTCACCACCCCCAGCTCCTTCAAGGTCAGTCCAGTCACTTCAAGGATGCCATCCATCCATCCATCTTGCCCTTGGTCGGCCCCTCTTCCTTTTGCCTTCCACTTTCCCCAGCATAATTGTCTTCTCTAGGCTTTGCTGTCTCCTCATGATGTGGCCAAAGTACTTCAACTTTGTCTCTAGTATCCTTCCCTCCAATGAGCAGTCGGGCTTTATTTCCTGGAGGATGGACTGGTTGGATCTTCTCGCAGTCCAAGGCACTCTCAGAACTTTCCTCCAACACCACAGTTCAAAAGCATCGATCTTCCTTCGCTCAGCCTTCCCTAAGGTCCAGCTCTCACATCCGTAGGTTACTACAGGGAATACCATGGCTTTGACTAGGCGGATCTTTGTTGCCAGTCTGATGTCTCTACTCTTTACTATTTTATCGAGACTGGACATTGCTCTCCTCCCAAGAAGTAAGCGTCTTCTGATTTTCTGGCCACAGTCTGCATCTGCAGTAATCTTTGCGCCTAGAAATACAAAGTCTGTCACGGCCTCCACATGTTCTCCCTGAACGAATGAACAACAACAACATATATAACAATATATATATATATATATATATATATAGTATTATTAGTACTATATGGTATTACAATATTATGATCAATATTATATGTACATATAATATATGATTAGCATAGCACAATATTAGTATTATATATTACTACATTGTATGATTATTAGTATTATATTGTATTACAATATTAATTGCCCATTTTGTTGTCTGACAAACAAGAATTGCATGTCTACACTGTAGAATTATTGCAGTTTTAACTAGCATGCCTCGTTGCTATGGAATCATAGGGGTTTGCTTCCTCTGTGCAGGGCTATATCATTACATAGCAGTGCAGACTTGAGGCTTTTTTCCTCTACAATGGAATCAAGGCGCATGCGCGACGGACGGACGGGCTCGCGGCGGTGGGCGTGGCTGTTGCGGCTCTATCTGTTCCCAAACCGGAAGAAGGGCTCAGACGGGCTTCCGGAAGGCGGTGAGAGTGGAAGGTGGTGGAGTTTTTCCTCAGGCTTCGGGCGTGGTGAGAACAAGGGGGGAAAAGAGGTGGAGGGGGGATAACGAAGCGTGTCAGCGATTTTTCCTCAGGAACAAAGCGGGAGGCGAGTCTCGAAGGGCTCTGGAGAGGGCCTTTCTTCCTTGAAACCAGCCCCAATGCGTTTAAATGCGTTGGGGCTGGTTTCAAAGAAGAAAGGCCCTCTCCAGAGCCTTTGGGAGACTCGCCTCCCGTCTTTCCTTATAAAACTCCGTTATAAAACTATTTAATATATTAATATTACAATATTAGTATGATATTGTATTAACTTATAATATTATTGTGCATATGTGTGTGTGTATATATATATAAATGCTCTGGTCATAATGAGTATCTTAAAAACAAAAGATTTGGCAACAAAACATCTCACAAATTTGGCAACAAAACATCTCACAACACAAGGAGTGACCATCACTCAAAAATGATGATTTTGTCATTTGGGAGTTGTAGTTGCTGGGATTTATAGTTCACCTACAATCAAAGAGCATTATGAACTCCATCAACGATGGAATTGAACCAAACTTGGCACACAGAACTCCCCTGACCAACAGAAAACAACAAAGGGGTTTGGTGGGCATTGACCTTGAGTTTGGGAGTTGTAGTTCATCTACATCCAGAGAACACTTTGGACAATTTATTTGTCGTGTCAGAGCAACCAGTCCATTATATATTACATTTCTAACAGAAACAAAGCAAACAGACAGAAAAATACACAACTTGTGAGTTTGGTAGTTGGTTAAATGTCCTTTGACCAGTATCTGGCCACTTGGAGTGCTTCCGGTGTTGCTGCAAGAAGGTCCTCCATTGTGCATGTGGCAGGGCTCAGGTTGCATTGCAGCAGGTGGTCAGTGGTTTGCTCTTCTCCACACTCGCATGTCGAGGATTCCACTTTGTAGCCCCATTTCTTGAGGTTGGCTCTGCATCTCGTGGTGCCAGAGTGCAGTCTGTTCAGCGCCTTCCAAGTCGCCCAGTCTTCTGTGTGCCCAGGGGAGTCTCTCATTTGGTATCAGCCATTGGTTGAGGTGCTGGGTTTGAGCCTGCCACTTTTGGACTCTTGCTTGCTGAGGTGTTCCAGCGAGTGTCTCTGTAGATCTTAGAAAACTATGTCTAGATTTAAGTCGTTGGCGTGCTGGCTGATACCCAAACGGGATGACTGGAGATGTCTCTGCCTTGGTCCTTTCACTATTGGCTGCTACTTCCCGGCAGATGTCAGGTGGTGCAATACCGGCTAAGCAGTGTAATTTCTCCAGTGGTGTAGGGCGCAGACATCCCGTGATAATGCGGCATGTCTCATTAAGAGCCACATCCACTGTTTTAGTATGGTGAGATGTGTTCCACACTGGGCATGCATACTCAGCAGAGCAGCAGACTCAAACAATGATGGATATGGACCAAACTGAGCACAAATATTCCATATGCCCAAATATGAACACAGGTGGCATTTGGGGGAAATAGACCTTGACATTTGGGAGTTGTAGTCACGGATTCACAGTTCACATACAATCAAAGAGCATTCTGAACCCCACGAACGACAGAATCGGGGCAAACTTCCCACACAGAACCCCCGTGGCCAACAGAAAATACTTAAGGCCATCCATGCCAACTCCATCAGGGCAAGAAAACATAATCAAAGCCCTCCTGACAAAGAGCCATCCAGCCATCAATATAGATAGATAGATATGATTCACACACACGAAATGCAAAGATATAGAATGGGGGATGCCTGGCTCGAGAGCAGTACGTGTGAAAAAGATCTTGGAGTCCTCGTGGACAACAAGTTAAACATGAGCCAACAATGTGATGTGGCGGCAAAAAAAGCCAATGGGATTTTGGCCTGCATCAATAGGAGCATAGTGTCTAGATCTAGGGAAGTAATGCTACCCCTCTATTCCGCTTTGGTTAGACCACACCTGGAATATTGTGTCCAATTCTGGGCACCACAATTCAAGAGAGATATTGACAAGCTGGAATGTGTCCAGAGGAGGGCGACTAAAATGATCAAGGGTCTGGAGAACAAGCCCTATGAGGAGCGGCTTAGGGAACTGGGCATGTTTAGCCTGAAGAAGAGAAGGCTGAGAGGAGATATGATAGCCATGTATAAATATGTGAGAGGAAGCCACAGGGAGGAGGGAGCAAGCTTGTTTTCTGCTTCCTTGGAGACTAGAATGCGGAACAATGGCTTCAAACTACAAGAGAGGAGATTCCATCTGAACATGAGGAAGAACTTCCTGACTGTGAGAGCCGTTCAGCAGTGGAACTCTCTGCCCCAGAGTGTGGTGGAGGCTCCTTCCTTGGAAGCTTTTAAACAGAGGCTGGATGGCCATCTGTTTGGGGTGATTTGAATGCAATATTCCTGCTTCTTGGCAGGGGGTTGGACTGGATGGCCCATGAGGTCTCTTCCAACTCTTTGATTCTATGATTCTACACACAGAGATATAGTATCATAGATTTGAAAGGGAACGCCAGGGAGGGAAGCCTCCAGTTTGTAAAGAAGCATGTACACATGTGCGGTCTTCTGCCAACACTTTAATACCTGAGACGCTCTGTGTGTTGTAAAACAGAAGCTTCTTTTCTTTGAATCACAGGCTTGAGTCTCTCTTGTATGAAACAAAGTATCAACGTTTATTCAAACACTCCAGGCTCCAAACGATTGTGGTTACAATTGATATTTTTGTTGCAAACTTGAGTTTCAGTCATGTTGTATAATATACTTGTTGCACTTTCCTGAAATAGGCTTTCAATGTTTCTCATTTGCCAAAATGGTATTTGCTTTACACATAACTGACTAAAATTACTTTCTGATTAAAGCACCACTGGCCTTTCTTTAAGTTCCCAAAACTTGTACTCTATTTGACTAACTGCTTACTTTTCTAACAGGATTATTAACTATCCCTCATGAACAGGAATCCCTAACTCTCTGTCCTTCACAAACTGCAATCCCTAACCAACTGTCACACACTAGCCATCCCCTGCCACGCATTGCTGTGGCCCACATGGGGGTTCTGTGTGGGAAGTTTGGCCCAATTCTATCATTGGTGGGGTTCAGAATGCTCTTAATAAATCCCAGCAACTACAACTCCCAAATGTCAAGATTCTATTTTCCCCAAACTCCACCAGTGTTCACATTTCGGCATATTGAGTATTTGTGTAAGGTTTGGTCCAGATCCATCATTGGTTGAATCCACAGTGATCTCTGGATGTAGGTGAACTACAACTCCAAAACCAAAGGACACTGCCCACCAAATCCTTCCAGTATTTTCTGTTGGTCATGGGAGAACTGTGTGCCAAGTTTGGTTCAGTTCCATCTTTGGTGGGGTTCAGAATGTTCTTTGGTTGTAGGTTAACTATACATCCCAGCAACTACAACTCCCAAATGACAAACTCAAATTTTTTGAGTGATGGTCACTCCTTGGGTTGTTAAGTGTCTTGAGTCCAAATTTGGTGTCAATTCGTCCAGTGGTTTTTGAGTTCTGTTAATCCCACAAAAGAACATTACATTTTTATTTATATAGATATTTGAGGGACTCCCAAGTGATGTTGCAAGAGACACGATGGAGCTGTGTCTTCATGGCTGCCCCCTCTTCACTGTAGTTTCTTACAGGTTTGGAGTGTGGAACGATGGCCCTTGGATTTTATTTATTTTGTTTCAAAAGCATCACATAAATAAATAAGTATAAAACTGATCAAATAAAGGGAGCACAAGCAGCTAAATAATTTTAGGCTAAAACAGGGATAAAGCGACTGCATTGTCTGTAAGTTGAAACAGATCTTCTCCTTTGCATGAGGCAGGGCAGGTTGGGCAAGCATGCAGATGCTGAGTTGTTTGTTCTGCTCCACAGTTGCATAAGGTGGGGAATTCTTCTAGGTAGTGCCATTTTGCCAGGTTGTCTTATGATCTGCCCACTCCACTTCTGAGTCTGTTCAGGGACTTCCATGTTGCCCATTCTTGGTTTGCCCCCTGAGGAAGACCCTCGTAGGGGGCCATCCTATTGGAATTGCCTGATTTTGCTGCCCACAGGTCAGTACTACTTTCTCCACCATAATGCTGTTTCTGGCCTTTTTTTGAATGCTTGGCCAGACAGAATGACCCTTGATTTATCTATGGATCACATCAAAAACTTATTATTTTGGCCCTAAAAAAGGTACTCTACTATTGCATGAGGTTGAATTACATATATAGGGACAGGTAAGTGTGCAGAGGATTTTTGCCAAAGTTAAAGTTAGAAATATGCAAACAAATATATACACTTGGGTCAATTATTTTGAAACACCCTATACCTTCCCAATCATCTTCCAGAATTAGATATACCTTTAGATGCCTATCTTAAACTGGTATTTCTGAACTGTGAGATGTAGAAAGGACAAGTCTATGTACTGTCCTATGTTCTTTCAGCATTCTGAGTGGGTGAAATGAACTATCACAGATACATAGAATCAAAGAGTTGGAAGAGACCTCATGGGCCATCCAGTCCAACTCCCTGCCCAGAAGCAGGAATATTGCATTCAAATCACCCCCAACAGATGGCCATCCAGCCTCTGTTTAAAAGCTTCCAAAGAAGGAGCCTCCACCACACTCCAGGGCAGAGAGTTCCACTGCTGAACGGCTCTCACAGTCAGGAAGTTCTTCCTCATGTTCAGATGGAATCTCCTTTCTTGTAGTTTGAAGCCATTGTTCCGTGTCCTAGTCTCCAGGAAGCAGAAAACAAGCTTGCTCCCTCCTCCCTGTGGCTTCCTCTCACATATTTATACATGGCTATCATGTCTCCTCTCAGCCTCTTCTTCAGGCTAAACATGCCCAGCGCCTTAAGCCGCTCCTCATAGGGCTTGTTCTCCAGACCCTTGATCATTTTAGTCGCCCTCCTCTGGACACATTCCAGCTTGTCAATATCTCTCTTGAATTGTGGTGCCCAGAATTGGACACAATATTCCAGGTGTGGTCTAACCAAGGCGGAATAGAGGGGTAGCATTACTTCCCTAGATCTAGACAC